ACAGTCCCTTTCCCCCCAAATGTCTAATATTAACAATATTATTTCGGTAGACAAAATAAAAATACAATATTTAACGTAATAATAAATTAATCTATACTTATAATAAATCTGTAGAGAGGTCAATTCTGTACATGAAGTATATTCACAAAATAACTATCAGGCGGTGATTAGTGGTCGATACTGATGACAAAAACGCAATCAGTAAAATTTTTGCCTGTCTGTCTGTATGTTCATTATAGAAACAAAAACTACTCGACGGATTTTAACGAAACTTGGTACAATTATTCTTCATACTCCCGGGCAGGTTATAGTATACTTTTCATCACGCTACGATCAATAGGAGCGGAGCGGTGAAGGGAAATATTGGGAAAACGGCAGAAGTTACGCTATTTTTAAGTTTCCATCGCACGTGCAGCCTTAATGGCCACTTTTTAAAATGTAAAAATCTGTGCCTCTAGTGAGAAAGGGTTCAATTCAAAATGGCCACTTTTCAGGAGAGCCAAAAAACCATTTTAAATAAAGAAAAACAATTCTGCTGCTTTTATTATTTGCTAATTGAACAAGTCAATGATTGCATTTATAGTAATTTTTTCTCCTCTTTCTTATGAAATTGTCGGTTTTTGTGTAAAACCTATAGTTTTAAAAATAATTCTATTATACCTAATCACACTTAACAAAATATTAAAATTATGATGTGAAAATAGTTAGTGGCTTTTACATGTTTACTATCTCTATTGTTTTTAAAGATATCGTTACGATTCTTATACCATTCGAAAGAGAAAAATTTGCTTATTTAAAGTAGCCTAAAAAAGAAAAAGGCTATAACTTGAGTTATATCCTTTCTCACTAGAGGCACAGAAATGTCCACCCGTGCGACGCCGGGACGGGCCGATAGTTATTAATAATTCATTTATAACAAAAACCATTATCAATTTTTCTAAGAAAAATCGATAATCTCTTTCGAGTAGCAATATTGAAAATCTAATGTATAACTAACCAGAGTTGCAATAATCTCGGAAAGGCATTTAATAATTCAAATATTTATCAATACTTTACAACTTAGAATGGCAAACAAGCTGACGGCCCACCTGATGGGAAGTGGTAACCGTCGCCTATAGACATGAGCAGTACCGTGGACATAACAGAGTGTACATTAAAAATGATAGAATTCCCATGGTGCCTCCGATCAAACTGTTTATAATTACTCCTCTCCATCCAAAGGTGGCGTGCAAGAGATCTCTCTCAGCGATAAGGCCGCGCATTGTTCTCTCAGTGCAATATTACCTTGTAATTGTTTGTATCTATAATAAGTTTACTATTGTAATCTTATGGAGGGAACAATATCTATCTACACTGTGTCGCCCTTAATATCCTTCACGCGTTGCCATTCCTGAGGACTCAGGTGTTATTCCTCTGTACCCAGTAAATTCACTGCCATATCCCACCCTTCAAACCGATACACAGCCATGCAAACACAATTGCTTCACGGTAGAAACACAAATGGGACAGATGTACCCATTACAGTTTTAATAAAAGAAACACAGTTCAGCACAAATATTTATTAGTAATAATTAACTTGATATTCTTGGACTCTGTTATTTTTTTTTTCAATTTTTTTTAATAATTATTAATAATAATAAACAATAACTCACACATACATACAACACTACATACCAATAACCAGTAGTAACACACAATAGTAAAATAACATTTACAATTTTTGCATTAATATTTACATGGCTCATACATAGTTTTATACAGCTATTTCGTAAACTATAGTACAATTACTGCAGCGGCCAGCAACTGAGGCATTGATGGACGAACGTGCAAATGTGGGCCGAGGCGTAGCCGAGGCACACATACGTGAGTCCATCAATGCCTAGTTGTGGCCAAGGCTTGTATAGTACTTTTCTCAAACAATGCGCGGAAATCAAAAACACAATTTTTTATTTTTTAAGTTCAATGACGAATAACAAACAATACCTAATAATTTTTCACGCGCCATACTGTTCCTTTGTTTTTTTTTTCAATAAACAGCTTTCTATTTGCAAGCCAGTTCGAAATTTAAATAAAACCTTTTATTAGTTACCTCCTTGGTAGCCATGTTTCGAAGTAAAAGGTCATTCCATTTTTAAATTACAGGACAGATATGAGTTTACATAGTAATTTATCTGGCCGCAAAACACGACAGATATGGATTTTCATACAACTTTTGCCGGCCGCTGCCCGCATGTATCTGGCCAGTACGGCAATTTTGATTTATCTCGGAGAAGATTGTCAAAATAATGCTCACATTTCCAAGGCATGTTTGAGAAAAATATTTAACAGTTTGTTGTCTGTAGAACTTATAATGTTAACGAACAATAGACAATAACAAAGAAAAAAAAAAACACTAATCTTGTTGATAAAAATAAATTGTAAACTTTTTGGCAGATAAGAAAATTTGGGCTCGGAATTTTGTTACCTGCCGCCGCCATCTTTTATAATCCTTCAATATTAAAAGATAACGACAATATTAAAAAAGCTAATACATAAATATACCCATTTTAATAAACATCATATCTGTTCTCTTCGACCTGACCATAAGACAATTTATTTATGTTTTATAGTAGCGTAAAGTAAAAGCGGGAAGCAGTGTTAACGGTGCACTGTTCTCGAGTATGTCAAGTAAAAATGTATCGAGCAAAGCTCGCCTTGCCATAATTCAAGGAGCACTGACACCAGCACTCATGTATGTAAGCGAATCGTGGGTATGGCAGAAGCATGAAAGTAAGACAAATGCTGTAGAGATGAGAGCTCTGAGAAGTATGTGTGGTGTTACATTGAAAGATAGAGTAAGAAACAGTTTGATTAGAGAGAAGTGTGGACTGAAAGACGATGCGGTGACAAAAATAGAAAAAGGAATGTTGCGTTGGTTTGGCTACTTGGAGAGGATGGATGAAAGAAGAATTACGAAAGTGATTTATCGAGCGAGAGTGAAAGGACTTGTCGATATGGGCCACCCTAGACGGAAGTATGTCGACCGAACAGGCGACGTGCTGAAGAAGGGCCAAATTAAAAGTACCCGTAACCGACGAGCGTGTATGAAAAGATTGATGAATGTGGAAGAAGCGAAGGAGGTTTGTTTGAATCGAAGCATTTGGCGTTCCATTGTTTCTGCCTACCCTAATGGGAGACAGGCGTGACAGATATGTATGTATGTATATGTATGTAGTGTAAATCCAAAGTGGAATAATTAACTAGTTGTTTCGATTCGTTCTTAAGGGGGCCATCCAATGTCCATCAATCCATTATCATCAATGGGTGATAATGGAATGGTAACCCCACCCGCGCTATCGGTATACACCTACTGGGCACCAGTGAAGGATGATAGGTGAGAGTGAAAGCAGGTCAGTTAGCCCATCGTGACGAATTCAACAAGAATTGTTCACGATGGTTTCCAGGGGGAACCGCGCGGAGATCGACTGTTAGATCGATTGCTAGCAATGGGGCTGTCAAACTCCATTGCTAACAATCCCTTTCCCTCCCATTTTGTGCTACTATGACCAGGTACAGTAGTAGTCAATAGAACGACCGGAAAATACATACAGATAATAGTTTCCCGATGAGTTCGACACGAGCGCTGCAGGTGCGGGCGACCTCGAGACCGTTTTAAAGCTCATACAAGAGAACACAAATAAAATCCCATAATAGCATTTTACTTCATAAAATATGTTTGAATTGGGGGAAAGGGATTGTTAGTAATGAGGACTACCAGTTCCACTGCTAGCAATACACCAAGCCAGGTCGACCTCCAAGCGGCTCCCCCTGGAAACCATCATGTTTAATTCTTGTCGAATTCATTATGGTGGGCCAACTGACCCGCATTTGTTCTCACCTATCATCTTCCACTGGTGCCTCGTCTGTGTATACCGATAGCGCGGGCGGGGTTACCAATCCATTATCATCCATTATAAAAAAATATGTTTGAACCTGCAGCAAATTATTCCCACTACACTAACCGTTCCCCACGACTTTGCCCGCGTCAATTAAAATACAAGACTCGATTATCCGGACCTGGGTTACATACGGGTTCGCGACTATTCGTAACGTCGACCGAGAACAAACAACGGCGTCGATTCTGATGCGTCATTTTCATAAACTACAATTAAAATCCTTTAAAAAGCAGGGTATCATACAATTTTATTTTGAAACTCTTGTTTTATTGGGACAATTGTGAATATTCATATGTATGTATGTATGTATGTGTTATTTAAATATGTTTAATTCAACACAATTTATTTTTCGCATTTTACAATATTATTATGAAAGATATTGTACATAGATAGGTACTCTTTATTGTTCCCTCCATAAGATTACAATAGTAAACTTATTATAGATACAAACAATTACAAGGTAATATTGCACTGAGAGAACAATGGGCGGCCTTATCGCTGAGAGCGATCTCTTGCACGCCACCTTTGGATGGGGAGGAGTAATTATAAACAATTAAATTCCAAATTAAATTTTTATTTCCATATGTTTTATTTTATTTTATTTTTAATATTAATATTCATGTTTTTTTTTATACAACTTAGAATGGCAAACAAGCTGACGGCCCACCTGATGGAAAGTGGTAACCGTCGCCTATAGACATGAGCAGTACCGTGGACATAACAGAGTATACTGTTTCGCCCATGATACCCCCATTGCGTTGCCATTCCTGAGGACTCAGGTGTTATTCCTCTGTACCGTGTAAATTCACGCCATATCCCATGAAAAGAAAGAAAATTGTTGTTTTATATATTTTGTTTTTTTTTTGTTTTGTTGCCTTTTTGTTTTTCATTCTTTTATCTCTTTTACTGTGCATTAAGTGTATGTTTGTATTGTAATTTGTGTGCTGTAAGTAATCTATCATCTTTTTTGATGGCAAAGCAATAAACTGAGTCGTGACCATTTTCTGTTACTGTAGCACACGCGTGAAGAAAAAAATACGTTAATTATTTTATGTATTTTCCCTGTTTTTTTTTTTGTACCTGTATTTTTTATTTCTTTATTCGCGTATGCACCTCTATGTCTACTATTACTTGTCTGCTGTAAGTAATGCAAATAAATTATCTACCTATCTATCTAAATTAACCAATTAAAATATTAGGTTCAGTGATAGGTATAGAGAAAAAGACGCATCAGAATCGGCCGCAACGCATCTAACACTTTTTAAGTATGCAAAAATATACGTACAATCTCTTAATAAACTAAAATCAATTTTATTTGATCAATTTATTTTTATTATATCTTTTGGTAATTTCGTTCCAAACAAGTGTTCGCGGACGTGACTCATATTAACAACACCATATAAAAATAGTTTCTTTTCGTATATTAAATTATCCGGATTTCCGATTATCCGGACGCAATCACGATAATTTGTCCGGTTAACAGTCTATACTGTGTAAAGCATCGCGTGTTAAATGTCCATCGAATGTCCAAACCATCAAACATGTATACATCTATACAATCCAACATGTATACATCTATACAATCAAACATGTATACATCTATACAATGAAACATGTATACATCTATACAATGAAACATGTATACATTCTATACAATCCAACATGTATACATTCTATACAATCAAACATGTATACATCTATACAATCAAACATGTATACATCTATACAATGAAACATGTATACATCTATACAATGAAACATGTATACATCTATACAATGAAACATGTATACATCTATACAATCAAACATGTATACATCTATACAATGAAACATGTATACATTCTATACAATCAAACATGTATACATCTATACAATCAAACATGTATACATCTATACAATCCAACATGTATACATTCTATACAATCAAACATGTATACATCTATACAATCCAACATGTACACATTCTATACAATCAAACATGTATACATCTATACAATCAAACATGTACACATTCTATACAATCAAACAGATTACGTGCACGCGCTATGTGTAAAGTGCTGAATCAACGTTCTTAGAACTTTCCCTCTTTTTTTTTATAGAAACAGACCACAGCCGACCGGACGATAAGCAGGTATGTATTGTGCAATATAGTACAAACACGAGGGCTGCCAACACAGTATAAATTGCTGTGTTCGTCATCTTGGCAGCCCTCAAATGTATGACTATCAGACCCTGCAGATATCGTCTTAACTCATAAAAATATTAACGGTCACATATCAAGTTAGAAACTACCCTATAATCGAACAATACACATTTACAAAATTACATTAGAATCAATTGAGCGGTTTCGAAGATTATCGTGAACGAATGTCGTGACACGGGATTTCCTGATCGACTGTTTACAATATTAGCCGTTTCCCGTGGCTTTGCCCGGGTGAATTAATATATGAAGTACCCTGCGTTAAGTTAGGATATAAGTTATCCATGTAATAAAATTTTATTCAAATCTTTACAGCGGCGTTTGTGTTATTGAGCAACAAACGTGCAAACATCTAAACATCCAAGCATGCAAACATGTAAACAGCCAAACATGTAAACAATCAAACATGTAAACAGCCAAACATGTAAACATTCACACACGTAACCAATCAAGCAAATTACATACATACGCCATACACAAAGTGCCAAATAGTAATTAATAAATGCTAACTCCAGAAGCTCTACCTTGAAATGTTTTCCAAAATTTTCAACGAACGAACGAAATATAAATTTGATCTTCAAATTACATAAAAAATACCGTTTAAAAATATAAAAAAAAAAAAAAAAAAATGGTAAAATACCGTTCTTTTGGACTTTTGGATAGACTGGTAGGATATATGACGAATAAAATGTTAAGCTCCGTTTACTGTATCGATTTGGGTATGAACAAAAACACAAATTTGAGGTGGAAAATTCGGAAATTTAATGGTAGACCTCCAGTTTTGTGAACGAATCACCGTAGACCGCTGGCGCGGCGCCTCCACTGCCCTACCGTGAATAAGCATGTCAATATCAGTACCGATCCGGTATCTATGTATCAAGTTTCTCTGGACATTGATGGTGGATATAGGTATTTACACACACTGGTCAGATATGTATATTCCTTGCGATAGGGTTTTACATCTCGATACTATACATTGGATACACGATATTTTTTTTATACAACTTAGAATGACAAACAAGCTGACGGCCCACCTGAAGGAAAGTGGTAACCGTCGCCTATAGACACGAGCAGTACCGTGGACATAACAGAGTATACTGTTTCGCCCATGATACCCCCCATGCGTTGCCATTCCTGAGGACTCAGGTGTTATTCCTCTGTACCCAGTAAATTCATTTCCCACCGTTCAAACCGAAACACAGCCATGCAAACACAACTGCTTCACGGTAGAAACACGAATGGGACAGAGGTGGCCAAGCAATCGGCTTTTGTATAAAGTCTCCCTCTAGTAATCCGTTGTATGGACCAATATATAGATAGATATTGCAACTACAATAAATAGATATCGCTGTATCGCCCTGACCATGAAGATGACATTTACGAACAATCACTGACCAGCAGGTTTACTCTTGAATCTAATATAATTAACGATATTAATCCAAATCTATTGCCAGATACAATTTTACATCGCACTCATGAAACAACAGGAATTGGGGGGAAAGGGATTGTTAGTAATGGAGACTAAGAATTCCATTGCTCGCAATATACCCAACCAGGTAGACCTCCTCGCGGTTCCACCTGGAAACTGTCATGGTTAATTCCTGATGAATTCATCATGACGGGCTAACTGGCCTGTTTTCATTCTCATCTATCACCCTTCACCGGTGCCCCGCAAGCGCATCCCGTTAGCGCAAGCGGAGATACCATACCATTTTCACCCATTAAAAGAAAAAAAAAAAACAGGAATTAGCTTAGAACAGGGATCGGTTTACAATAGTTCGCATTGGCAAGTTGCACTAACGTGCATCTATCAGAACAGTATGGAGCCATTACGTCGCTAAAGCTGCAGTACGAGAGCAAGACACAGCTCGATTTGAATATCGATCTATTGGACTTTATTTCAAGAGTAACCCCACGGGTCAGTAAGTAGTTTTAATTTTTCCAAAAAACTAATTTTGAAAATATCCTTTTTTTTTTAGATCCTCCGACAGCGGCCTGCGTAATTTAAATCTGAACATACATACAAACATCTAAACGTCACAGGCGTATTCAGGGGGCGGAGGGGGGCGAGTGGTCGTGCCCAGTACAAAGTCATCTGGTACTTAACCTACAATTCGAGACGAGGTTTCAGCTATGCAATACTAAAGTGACAATTGACAAATAAAAAGTGACAAAGACATGTCTGAGAACACGATATGCCCTTTTGAAGGAGACCAGGCCCTCTGTAGGACGATCCTTAATACGCCAATAGTAAAGAACGATTACTGACCGATGGTTAATATATATATATATATATACCGAATAGCTTCCCTTCTTACTTTGCGTTTTACGAATTATGTCACGAATTCGTGTCAAACGTAGGTGAAGAGACAGCATTAAGACTGCAGCTGTAACTACCCGCAACAAATTTTTTTTTGTAATATAATTAAAAAAAAAAAAAAAAGTATATTGTCATAAACGTCGTAAATTTTTAATAGCCACTAATCAATCAAGGTACGAGCATAGAGAGAAATGCTTCCCGAACCGATCATGAAACCATTCGGGACACGCCAACATCGGACTACCATTTGTCCTTACAACGTGATCTTACATAACAAGTACTTATATCTACATCTAATATATGTATATTTTAATATATAACGTAATTCACCTATGCTAATATAGTATGTCCCAATTTTATGTACAGATATTGTAGTCACAGCATGGTGTCCAATATTTTCCATAAACTAAACAACACGAGTCATGGTCGCTGTTGATCGTTTAAAGAAAACGTAAAGTAAACACTAATCTTTCTCCGATTTTTTCCGTTTCTTCTTCTCTGTCTTCTCCTTCTTCTTGTCCGCCTTCTTCTTCTTCTTCTCCTCCGGCTCGGGGGATTTGAACTCCGCTATCCGCTTCTTCGGGGGGCACCTTATGATTATCTTATTTTCGTAAGTAAGCACTTCTTTCTTCGACGACCTGAGGTGTTTCAGCGGTATCATGTCCTCGGGGGTGGAACACGGCGATGCTTCCGACTTCTCCGACACCGCGTCTATTCTCTGCAAGGCCATGTCCTGGTTCCCTTCTTCTACGCCTTCCTCCTCCTGCTGGCCCGGTATACCGAGGATCTCGGCCCACTGGTCGGGGGGAGGGGTGGGCTGTTTCCACTCCTCCTCAGCGGCGGCTGCCTCTTGCTTCTGCGGGTAAATCGGCTGATTAGGAGTGCTTGGGGGTTATACACAGTTATATTTGTGGACACAACCTCCCCAATGTAAACGCCAGGAAGGAAAGGCTCGTTCCTCGTGGCAGTCTATGGAGGAGGCTTGTTCACCAGAAGTTAATGGCTGATTTGAACGGATGAATTTTGGCATATCGAGTCGAAGTCGTGCATATTTGGAGCAAGTTACGCAGGCAACATGGCCGTTATCCTGTGTGGCTCGAGTCTGAAATGCTATTTCTTTAAACCCACCTTTCGAATAAAAAATTTTATATCACAGGGGGATTCCCCTGATTCCCTTTTCCTTCTGTGGACCAAAATGAACTAAATTTCTAATAGATTCAAATCGATTTTTTTATGCAACTCAGAATGGCAAACAAGCTGACGGCCCACCTGATGGAAAGTGGTAACCGTCACCATGGACATAACCTGTCTTAAACTGTTTCGCCCATCATGGGCCCATGATCCCCCCATGCGTTGCCATTTCTGAGGACTATTATTATATTATTATAATTTTTGCCAATAGTTGCCACACTTGACAGGCGGATTCGCAACCGCAGTCAGGCTTTGGCGATGTTTTGAGAAAGACACTGCTGCCCATCCCTCGACTTTTAAATACCCTTAACGCATCTAACGACACCCATGGGAAAGGATGGACAGCTCGTTCTATGCGGGGACCATATGACGATTAAGAATTAAGTTTAATAGAATAAAAAAAAGGGCAGGTTTAAAGAAATGGCGGCACAGGATCGGCCTCAACACCGTTGTCTACGTATCTGGCTGCAATGTTAACGGAACGTTCATTAGGCAGGCTGAACAATAGTCGTGGTCGAAAAAAATAAAAAAAAAAATTATTAGAGACCTTCCATACTGTATGTTTTATATACCATTGTATTGTATTTATGTTTTTCTAAATATGGCAGCGTTCAAGTTTTATGCAACGCAATTTAGGGGGTGTGGTATAACTTTACGATGAGTTACGTAGACGAGAGACAGTTTAAACAACACGTTAAATAACATTGTTTTTTATTTACATATATGCTTTTGTACATTCACTTATAATATAGATATTAGATTATATAGCATTTTTTATTTATTTAAATGAAAATCTAAAATTAGGGAATTTAAATCTCCCAAGTTGGCAACACTTCCCCCCTTTCTGTTTCACGGGGAGTCCCTCGACTGTGTTGCACGTCATTTTTATTTTGTTTTCGTTGGCAGTATTCGTTAGTGTCGTAACTTTTACGTGGAAATGGTCACTTGGGTGTAAGCAATGTTTAGAGGGGACAGAGGGGCGGGAGTCAAAGTAAAAAATTTGGATACGTATTGTCTGATTCAAGTGAATAAACACTACTGTGAAAGCTAGACGTGACAGTATGGGAGGCTCCAATATCTCACTAATCAAGCCACAATCCTTCGTCGTAAATGTTCAGTCGGCCTGCTTGAACGCTCCCTCCGTACGCTGACGGCTTCGACGCCACCCGGACACTTGCACGACCGTGCAATAAATGTTTTTATTATCTATTCCTGTGCAGTTACATCCACTTACCGAAAATGTGATAACGTTAGAGTCGAAAATTGACAGGTTAAAAACAAAAATTTAACAATTTTCAATATTTTTGTTCGATTATTCAAAAAAAAAAAAATGCTCTGTTAACGATTTCAAATATTAAAAAAAAAAAATACTACAAAATTCTAATAAAATAGTCAGTGAGAATTTGGAATTTTATAGCAAGTAAAGTGTTTGAAAAATTTTGTAGTAAATTTATATGCAATATAGTGTATGATTAACGTTACAGATTGGTAGCAGAGCACTGTTTTAATATTTAGTTAAAAACATTGAAAATTGACAAATCACTTGGTAAGTTTTAGTATATACAGACTGTCTACGATAACACGGCACGCGCCTCCAAAATACAAAGAATTAAAAATGAGTAAAAAAATTTTGCTAAGTTTCCACCAGGGAATACAACCGTTCTGCGGGCCGAGCCGCTGCTGGCGACATCTCCTCGCAAACACGAACAGAGCACCGACTCGGTATACGTGCGCGCGTGGGGCCGGGGGGGGGGGGTGGTGGACAGTTGGAGGGGGGGGGGGGGGTGCTGTGTTAACGTAGACCTTCTACAAAGGATGCAACCACACGATTTTAAAGCGAACCTGCATCGGACATACTGGCAACTTGACTGTAACGGCCTTAGGAGTAATATGTATATTTAATACACCATAATATTATAGGCAACCATAGCCAGCGTACATAGAATTACAATTAACATACATATACGTAGTGTGCGTATAATTTACAAAGTCACATTTAACGTCTTTTAATTGTAAATAACTCTTTTTTGTGTCATTTGGAATGTTCTAAAAAATTTTTAGTAAAAAAAAAAAAAAAAACAAATAAATAATTTAAAAATAAAACAAAACAAATAAAAAAAGACATGTTTTTAATTAAATAATTATATTTTTTCTCTTATCAGTCACTTATACATCTTTTTTATTTAAATAAATAGAATTAATTTAATTTCAATGTATAGTATAAAGTACGATGACTTTTCAAGACATATCTTCACGGTAACTCCTCCAAAAGATAGGCAGAGTTGTCTTACAGATAATTTAGTACCATCTAACCGTTCAACTATACATTACCATAAAACTAGTGTAAATAAATCCATTCAAACACCATTTAATATTTTAATTTTGAATCACAAAACTAACAGAGCTATTTCAAGACCGGGGAAATGGTCGTCGTGTTTTTATAGAACATTCCAAATTCCTAAGGCCGTGTGTCATATCTGCGGAGCGCGTCCAAGGCAGGCCGCCGCCGCTATACAGCTCACCTGCCGTCACTCCGCAGGGGTCGAACCCCAATACTTTACCACTGCAACACCAAACTATGAACACAGTGGAACAGCCCACCCGGTATCTCCATGTCTGATCTATGGTTTTCGAAAATTTTCTTTTTCAGATCAGCCACTTAATTGGATGGTAGCGAATCTCTCATCCAAAACACATACATCAATCCCACTAATGATTAAAAAAAAATTCACTACACAAACACTTTAAAAACTTCACGACGATAATTTCAAATTTGATCTACAGACGACACTATCCCGCGGTATAAGTATAGGGTAATGATAAAAACGTAACCATAGAGTTAACGGTCTAAACTCTATGGCGTGGGGTCTATGCTAGCACCCCGCAGATCATGACAATCGGCAGTATCGCAAAGTTTCTTTAGTAAAACGTTCAGTCACAATCGAAGTGGCAACACCGTGACACTTTCACACCTCGTTTGCTAGTGTTGCCAGCGTATAAATTCGCTTCTGAAATAGCGTGAAAAAATTACGTGTTCATAAATGTAAATTATTATTCAAATGGATATTAAATTCAAAATTCTATAATCAATTGGAAATATTTTTTAGAGAATTATATTTCAGTGTGTTTAGATTATGGCAAACATATAGACAGCTCACTATGAGAGGCGCTACATATATGTAGAACTACGAATACCCATGGTATCCCCTTCAAACGTTACCATTCCTGAGGACTCAGGTGTTATTCCTGTTGCCGTCAGAGATGTGGTGAGTGCGAAAGCGAACCCATGTCTCCGACATATGGCACCTCGAGGGTATATCGTCTGGTTTTTGGTGGGTACACCCCCACCTTACGGGGGGACTCCCACAGTACCCATTCACCTCCCACAAGGTGTATGGGTCTGCATAAAGCATTTTCCAGACGTTAAAAAAAAAAAGGTGTTATTCCTGTGTACCCTGTAAATTCACGCCATATCCCACCGTTCAAACCGAAACACAGCCATGCAAACACAACTGCTTCACGGTAGAAACACGAGTGGGACAAGGAGAGGGATATAACAGTTACAGTTCTTAGGAATGGCAACGCTTAAGTATTTTGTGAAGTCAACGATGGTCTTTATGTCTATAGGGGACGGTTACCACTTTCTATCAGGCGGGCCGTCAGCTTGTTTGCCATTCCAAGAGATATATATATAATTAGGAAGTACGGTTTCGGGCCGAGGCACCGGAATGTAGTTAGGTTACTTCAAGAAGGTGTTGGGGTCTGACAAATTGGTTTAAAATCTCACCAATAGAAAACGGGTGTTAACTACTTCAACGCTGAATCTGGTAAATTGAAATCAAATGTTGTATATAGATAACTAAAAGGGGGAGGGGAAGGGGGGATTTAAGTCAACTATATATTTTTGTCTTATTTGTTAAATTTGATAATAAAAATAAAACTATTTAAAAATATCCTTTAGATAAATCCTTTGGATTTTTATATGAAGGTATGAACGAAAGCACGAAATAAACGAAATGACATATCTGTCACGCCTGTCTCCCAGTAGGGTAGGCAGAAATAATGGAACGCCAAATGGAAAAAAAAAACAAATTGAGTCCGAAAATTCGGAATTTCATTTCATAGACGCAGAAGTCCAGACTCAATGGTTGCCAGAGAGCAATGGAATGAAGTGTTTAAGGGGTAAAGAGGACGGATGGTGTATCCAACATCTTATTTTGCTCCCAAACTGGCGTTAAAAATGAAGGTTGGACTTAAATAGATATATTTCCTACAGACGGGCTAATATTTCCCGGTGAGTACATACTGTGTAGCAATGTAAAACGACTCCCCACTAGATGGAGTGACGACCTGAAATACATTGCTGGGAGTCAGTGGATGCAGGTGGCTCAGGACCGTTCTTTATGGCAGTCTATGGGGGAGGCTTATGTCCAGCAGTGGACGGATAATGGCTGAAATGATGAGTACCTACTGTCAATCCAGATTGAATAGACATAGGAATGAATTGGCTGCTCAATTTACAAGGATCGGGAAGTATTAGTTTCTCTCGATTAAAAAAACACCCCATCCAAGATCCTGATAGAAAGGTTTACAGAGACTGAGAGCTGATTACTGGATTGGTCTCATCATATCGTCATACCAGATGGAGACTTCGTACAAAAGTCGATTGCCTGGCCACCTCTGTCCCATTCGTGTTTCAACTGTGAAGCAGTTGTGTTTGCATGGCTGTGTTTCAGTTTCGGTTTAAAGGGTGGGATATGGCGTAAATTTACTGGGTACAGAGGAATAACACCTGAGTCCTCAGGAATGGCAACGCATGGGGGGTATCATGGGCGAAACAGTATACTCTGTTATGTCCACGGTACTGCTCATGTCTATAGGCGACGGTTACCACTTGCCATCAGGTGGGCCGTCAGCTTGTTTGCCATTCTAAGTCGTATAAAATAGTCGTAGAATACTGACGAATCTTTATATATAACATTTGTCAGATCCGTCAGTATTCTACGACTATGACGATAGAATGGGAAAATTCAAACCTGACATCCAAACAGCATGTTGGATTATTGTTCTACAAGGAAGCGATTCCTAAAAAGTCACTAGGATTCCATTCCATTCCATTTTTCACATTAAAAATATAAAGGGAACTTGTAAAGTGTTGTACTTTTAAAATATTTCTAATAAAAGCTTTCGTTCTTCTTTCAATTACAGTGTTATTGACTTGTAACCGTTTGATATGGGATTCCTTAAAAGGTATTTGGTGGGCGTTCCGTTATCTTGAAAGTTTAAGGACCCCTGTTATAAGGAATAGATTGGCAATGAGTAGATTAGACAAGAAAAAAAAGTACCCATTGATGGACAGCGTGGCTGTAGCCGTCCTAGGAAATGATGTCGTGACGATTTAGACACATTTAAAAGGGGCTGGTTCGAGGTGGCGCTGATTAGGGGAAAACCTTTGCCCAACAGTGGGACATGAGTTAAATAGACAGATGGATAAATAGATATTCAGTCTCAAAAAGGAGGGAAGCTACGCTGTTACAAGGTACACTAAAATTCGTATGAGTGTATGTTGGAAACTGCTATAAATTTTGTGGCAACACTGCCTCTTTTCTTTATGGCAGTCTATGGGGGAGGCTTATCTCCAACAGTGGACGGATAATGGTGGAAACGTTAATGACTGCCTCTTTCTCCCATCTTCTTCAAGTGATATGTTTTCTTTATGGGATGATAATGGAATGGTAACCCATAAAGAAGGCTGTGTTATCAGTGTATGTTGGTGGGACACCAATAGCGGATGATAGGCGAATTCGCCAGGAAATAACCACGATGATGTGGTTATTGGGGCCATTATTCCTCAATACTAACCTCTCTTCCCATCAATCGTCTTTTAAGTCGACCATAAAATTGTAGTTTTGTAATAATTAAAAATTTGTTTGTCTGAGGATCCTTGTATGCTGCATATTCGACATCAGCAATGGTCCTTCGAGCCGGATTCGAACTCCGATAAGGTGTCATAGTTAAAAATAAACCAATAGTTTATTTGGTAATCTTAAAATCTACTAGGTTGAAAAATTTAAACCTCGCGGTAGCTGGAACCAATGGTCGGAACGGTCAAAATTTTAAACCTGTTAGATTTTACACAGTTTTCCTGTGACATACAGACATTCAACAATATAAAATATTAAAACACAACGCGTGTCCGAAGCAGATTGACTTTAATAATTTGTTAACACAAAAACAATTCGCTTGAGCAAATAAAAAGACGATAGAGGCAAATTTGTTAAAATATTGAATTTATTAAAATATTATTGTATTTTCTGGCAACACTTAATACATCCTAATTATAATAACGATGAAATTAAGTAGAGACAGTGTCGAGTTTAAGGAAAATGGTATTGCAATACTGTTTATTTGATAAAATTCAAAATTTTATAAGCCTGGGAGGACGCAAACGTAATAAGAGATTGAGATATGGTACTCAGTAATTTAATCATCATATCTTCACCTTCAAATGGATTTACAGCACTCATTGCAAGCTTTTACTTCAGGCCGGCAATGCGCGTGTAATATCCCTGGTGTTACAGGCGTCCACAGTTACCCCGTTTACCATCAGACGGGCCGTATATTTGTTTGCCACCATAGTTGTATAAAAAAAAATATTAAAAGTTTTTTACAGATCTTGACATTCGATTTAGTTGAAATTTTGTAAACACCTTTAGTTCTGCAGTTAATACTTATATGCAATACTCCACATTGTTATATTTACAAAATGGCCGCCCGTCACAAGATGGCGGACGGCTTATAAATTGAGGTTGATTCTGAAGCGTCATTTGTCTAAATTTATCTCTTAATATAAGCATTTTAATTTGATAATTTAGCGAAATTATTGTTTTATAGACTAATATAAACTAAAATTCCAATAAATTGGACTTAAATATATTAGAAAATTAGTCTATATTTGTTCTTACAGTACAGATTTCACTGTAATATCGAATTAAAATTTTTAGAGACACATTTAGACGAATGGAGCCTAATGAAGAGCCTAGAGAATATGGATATCAAATGAGAGCTCAGAGAGTCCATAACGATAAAATAAATTACATTTTAAAAGTCATTTCACAGCCACAATATGGCGGATTGCATTATTAAAAGTTGCTATTAAATGTTTTTTTTTTTAATTTTTTTTTTTCAAACTAAAAACAGAAACGGACGTAACCACGCATTGTTATTCCGCACTGCATTCTCAATTAGCTTACGTACCTCTTTCTCTTTTTTCTTCTCCTTCTTCGACTCCTTATCCCTGTCCTTGTCCTTGTCCTTGTCTTTGTCCCTGTCCTTGTCTTTCTTCTCCTTCTTGTTGCCGCTCCGTTCTCGCTCTGGAATGGTCGTGTTTACACATCAAATTTAAAAGTACCGTTTACTAGTTACAGCACGCGATTTCGTTTGAGATAAAGCACTAACTCCCTGCTCTTCTAAATTCTTTGCACTATTACCAAAATATTTATTTTACACTTTATTGCACTATTTAAAAAAATAATAAATTCAGTAAATTGTAATGAGAAGTGATACAAAAAGCGGTCTTATCGCTGAGCAATCTCTTCCACACAACCTTTGGGTAGAGGACATTGGGAAAAAAAACAAAGGGTAGGTGGCGCACTGTTATGTAGATACTAAGAGACTACCGACTAAACCGTCTTTCAAAAAAACGTTCACGCTCAATTTTTTACTTTATCCGAGCAGTGAGTACTTTATATTATTCTCAAATTCGTGTACAATATAGTATATGTCATATATGTGTAAGTATATTTGTTATTCATATATATTTATTCGTTTATATATGTAATTTTAGTATGTATGTATATCAATAATTACTAGTACCGCATTCGTGTATTCTGCCACTTCCCTACGGTTGACTGGGAGAGAATGCTTTTAGCATTAAGTCCACCATGTACACATATATGTACTAATGAATAAATAAATAAATTAATAATGTGCTATAATGTATGTTTATATACACATATTTAATAGCACACATAACAAGAGAGAATGACGAAGGAAAATGAAGAGAGAACACACGGAAATACACGTTTACCTATTTTTTTTTGATGGGTGAAAACGGTATGGTAACCCCGCCTGCGCTAACGGGATACGCTGGCGGAGCACCAGTGAAGGGTGATAGATGAGAATGAAAACAGGCCAGTTAACCCATCATGATGAATTCATCAAGAATTAACCATGGTAGTTTCCAGGGGGAACCGCGAGGAGGACGACCTGGAGCAATATACCCAGCTAATAATGGGATTCTCAGTCTCCATTACTAACAATAATCGGGACATTTAGCGTCACGATCAGGTACAAATCGGGACGCGTCCTCAGACCCCTGAAATTCGGGACACCTGGCAACACTACTAGCTACCCACCGTGCAAGCAAGAGCTTTGAATTACACAAATAATACATATTTGAATGTATATGTGCTTTCAGATATGTATTTTTTGAGCTATTTTTGAGACCCCTATCTGGAAAATTACAGGAAAAGGCCGATCTTCTTGGATCCATCTTTGCGTCAAACTCGACATTGGATGACGGGGAGAAATCACCACCGACCATCACGTGTTGTAGGAGCTCTATGCCTGACATTAAATTCACGCATAGCTCAGTGCGTAGAGCACTTTTCTCCCTCGAAATCCATAAGTCGAGTGGGCCCGATGGTATTCCTCCAATTGTGCTTAGGACGTGCGCACCAGAGTTGGCTCCGGTTCTTACGCGTCTTTTCCGGCTTAGCTACTCATCGGGCATAGTCCCAAAGTTTTGGAAGACTGCTCTGGTGCATCCGATCCCTAAAAAGGGAGATCGCTCAGATCCAGCTAACTATAGGCCCATAGCTATCACTTCCTTATTCTCGAAGGTTATGGAATCCATCATTAACCGTCAACTGCTCCGGTACCTAGAAGAGCACCAGCTGATCTGTGATCGCCAGTACGGCTTTCGACAGGGACGTTCGGCTGGTGATCTTTTAGCTTACTTAACACACCGATGGGCAGTGGCAATCGAGAGTAAGGGAGAGGCCTTAGCAGTTAGTCTGGATATCGCGAAGGCCTTTGATCGGGTGTGGCATAGAGCGCTGCTTTCAAAGCTACCTTCATTTGGGTTGCCTGCGAGACTGTGCATTTGGGTCGCCAGTTTTCTCAAGGAACGTAGCATTAAGGTCGTAGTCGACGGAGCATGCTCTGATTTAAAACCTTTGAATGCTGGTGTCCCGCAAGGCTGTGTACTATCTCCGACTCTGTTTCTTCTGCATATCAATGATATGTTACAGATAAGTAATATTCATTGCTATGCAGACGACAGTACAGGAGATACATTATATACCGGTCATGCAAAGATCTCGCGGGCACATACCGATGAGTGCCGGAATAGACTTGTGTCTGAAATCGAAACTTCACTCCATCAAGTTTCGATCTGGGGTGAACAAAATCTTGTCCAATTTAACCCCAAAAAGACACAAGTCTGCGCGTTTACCGCAAAAAAGACGCCGTTTGTCGTATCTCCTCACTTTCAGGGCACTTCCCTTGATAAAAAGTCGAGTCTAGGAATTCTGGGCGTTGATATATCTTGCGACGTCCAGTTTTGCGGTCATCTGGAGGAGAAGGCTAAGATAGCTTCCAAAAAGTTAGGAGTGCTCAATAGGGTGAGACGATATTTCATGCCAGAACACCGCCTGAAATTATATAAAGCCCAAGTCAGGCCGCATATGGAATACTGTTCTCACCTGTGGGCAGGAGCGCCACAGTACCAACTCCTTCCGTTAGACCGCATTCAGAGTCGGGCGGCTCGAATTATCGATAGTCAACGCCTTACTGTCCGGCTTGATCCACTGAAACTGCGCAGAGATGTTGCATCTCTGTGCATCTTCTACCGAATTTATCATGGGGAGTGTTCTGAGGAATTGTTCGGATTGATACCTGCTGCTGATTTTCACCACCGTACAACCCGCCACAAACTAAAGTTTCATCCCAATCATCTGGACGAGTGGCGGTCTTCCACCGTGCGTTTTTCAAGGCACTTTCTTCCACGCACAACCATTCTTTGGAATCAACTTCCAGCAGCAGTATTTCCGAACCGATACGACAACATAACCTTCAAGAAAAGAGTATATTCCTTTTTAAAAGGCCGGCAGCACACCTGCAATGCCGCTGGTGTTGTGGGTGATCATGGGCGGCGGTAGTCACTTACCATCAGGTGAGCCGCATGCTCGTTTGCCCCCTGTGTTGTAAAAAAAAAAAAAAAAAAAAACATCAAATGCTGCTGTTGCCGATTTTCACCACCGTACAACCCGCCTTAAACTAAAATCTCAACCCAACCATCTGGACGAGTGGCGGTCCTCCACCGTGCGTTTTTCAAGGCACTTTCTTCCACGCACATCCACTCTTTGGAATCAACTTCCGGCAGCGGTATTTCCGAACCGATACGACATCGTAACCTTCAAGAAAAGAGCATATTCCTTTTTAAAAGGCCGGCAGCACACCTGCAATGCCGGTGGTGTTGCGGGTGATCATGGGCGGCGGTAGTCACTTACCATCAGGTGAGCCGCATGCTCGTTTGCCCCCTGTGTTGTAAAAAAAAATACGCCAAGGAATACAGTTTACCTTTCTCTTTCGTCTCCTTCTCCTTCTTCCTCTCGTCCTTCATCATCTTGCAGTACTCCCTAAAGTAGTCCTCTCTGAGCGCGCCGTTTTCCACCGCCTTGTACTTGGGCTCCGACTCCATCTTCTTCTTCACGTCCGCCCACCGGGCGTGGCGGTCAATCAGCTTCTCCTTGAGGAGGGCGATGAACTCTGTCCTCACCTGGGGAGAGAGGGGACGTCATTTCCGGTAGATGGTTGGCGCGACGGCGGGTCGGTCGGCCGACGGCTACCGGGGGCTTCCGTTACAATTTGAATTTTAAACAGTTGACTTTAAATGTTATTATTGTGTGTGTTTGTGTTGGTAGAAATTATATAAATCCATATTAGTATCGAATATGAAGTGACGTAAGACAAATAGATTAAAAAATTTTTATTTTTATACTAGTTATGAAATAAAAAAAAAAACTAAATATTATGAAATTTATAAATTAAATTTTTATTTGAAAAGAGCAATAATAATAATAATAATAATTTTTTATTAAAATTACCAAAACCCCCTTTTTTTAATTTATATTTTATATAATATAATATAATTAATAGCCGAGTTGTTTTCGTACATTTTTCACAACTTTTGAAATTGGAGGGTAGATTGAAAAATAGTTAACGCATCAAAATATTTATTTAAATTCCTTTTAAAAGACGTGCAAACAAATCTACCTGTAGGCACGCTTTCTTTACTGCATACACGATAACCTTTAGACGATCACCGTCTCAATTTCCAAATTAGAATTTAAAAGGGCAAAGAAAAAAAGTTATTTCGAATATAAACTTTAAAACAAAATTTCGGACTCTAGTTTCCAAATAACATAATTAATACCAACAGAGACAAGCTTTAAAAAAAAATTTTGAAAAAATTTAGTTTCAAAATATTTCGCATAGCCCAGAAGCCTGCCGGTGGCCGTCGGCCGACCCTTAAAAAACAGCCCTAATCTGAATTTCGCGCCTGAAAAAAAGAAGGTAGTTAGCTGCTGAAAAGTAAAACATTTCAAATTATGGCTGTGAAGAGAAATATGATTAGTTCCTGGAAGAGAAGTGTCGATTATTGGTGGCGGCGTCGCGAGAGTAAAGGTATTTTTAACAAATTAATTTAACCGCTTACTCCACTGGGTTTTACCTTGCAACGGTCACGGGTTCGATTCCCGAAACTAAGTATATTTTACCCATTTCTTATTGACTCCTATCCCTTCCTTTCCAGAGCTTCGTAAGAGACGAGAGGACCTTAATACTCGAGGTTATGGGCAGCAGGTTCTGTGCGGGGAGAAATCGGAATCCATGGAACATTTGATGTGCAATTGCGATTCCTTAGCGAGCATGCGTATGAGTCTACTGGGAACGGCTTATCCGGAGCCAAGGGACTACAGATATCTTAAACCGCGGGATATCGTTAGGGTAACACATAGGATCTATAAAATGATGGTATAAGGCAGGGGGAAGCACAACAGATCCCGATGGGTCGACGTGCAACGGCTTAGCTGACCCCATATGCGAATATAACATAAGATATGGGAAGCAGGGTCCCTTGTAAAACTTTACTAAAGCCTAACTGCGGTTTCTAACATGCCAGTTAAGCATGGCACCTTATGGGGAAAAAAACAACTGAGTATAAAAAAAAATAATCTATCACGAATTTTCAATAAAAACTACTAGTGAAGAAAACTAGTAAATGGATTTCCTATGTTTTTTTTATACAACTTAGAATGGCAAACAAGCTGACGGCCCACCTGATGCAAAGTGGTAACGGTCGCCTATAGACATGAGCAGTATCATGGACATAACAGAGTATACTGTTTCGCTCATGATACCCCCCATGTATTGCCATTTCTGAGGACTCAGGTGTTATTCCTCTCTACCAAGTAAATTCACTGCCATATCCCACCGTTCAAACCGAAACACGGCCATGCAAACACAACTGCTTCACGGTAGAAACACGAATGCGACAGAGGTGGCCAAGCAAACGACTTTTGTACAGTCTCCCTCTGGTACATTGTCTGCTTAATTATTGTGAACATATTGTTGGCGTGTCTTTTATAAATAAATAAATAATTATTTCATATATTGTGACCCTTTATATAGCAGGACGTGGAGATACTGTTTAACTGATGTAACACCGAAACGTAATACGTATGTATAGGAAGTACCTACGCTGTGAGACGCATCTAAACAAACAGTACAGCGCACGCGCGTCGCGAAGTAAACCGCGCGACCGACCAATAGGATCGCGCCTTTCGCGCTTCCAGAAAGTTCGCGGCTAACGAACGACATAGTTTTTTTTTTTATGGATAATGGAATGATAACCCTATCCTGCCTGCGCTATCGGTATACACTAGCGGGGCACCAGTGAGGAATGATAGGTGAGGATGAAAAGGCAGGTCAGTTAGCCCATCGTGAAGAATTCAACGATAAATTAGTCACGATGGTTCCCAGGGGGAACCGCGTGGAGGTCGACCTGATAAGGTATACTGATAACGATGGGGACTAACCTCCCCGTTACTAACAATCCCTTCCCCCCTGGACGATACAGTAGCAAGGCGACGAGTGTCCCAGTAACATCGTTATAATACTGTTTCTTGTCAAATTTTATTGTTACACACACAATTTCATAACAGATAACGTGTTCCCACGTTACACTAATGTAATACCTTAATTCGACCTCTATGATACCACAATAAAGACATTTGTATTTATTTTTATATACCAGTGGGAATCCACCGCTAGATACCTTTACTCTCGGTGACCGCACGCCTACATACTTGACTCTAACATGTAGAGAGCAAACCAATATTACTGGACTAGTGTTATTTTCAACAACGAAACCGGCTTGCCTTTTTTGTCTTTCATACAACTTAGAATGGCAAACAAGCTGACGGCCCACCTGATGGTAAGTGGTAACCGTCGCCTATAGACATGAGCAGTACCGTGGACATAACAGAGTGTACTGTTTCGCCCATGATACCTCCCACGCGATGCCATTCCTGAGGACTCAGGTGTTATTCCTCTGTACCCTGTAAATTCACGCCATATCCCACCGTTCAAACCGAAACACAGCATGAACAGTACAGAGATGTATGTATGGGGATTAGAGGTACTCTTAATGGGTGATAATGGCCATCTAACAGTTCCCATCGCTAGCAATATACCCTAACAGGTCGACCTCCACGCGGGTCCTACTGGAAACTATCATGGTTGATTTTATATGAATTCATCACGATGGGCTAACTGATCTGCTTTCATCCTCACCTATCAACTCTCACACCAGTGAGACCAATTGTAACGACAGCGCAGGCGGGGCACCAGCCCCGCCTGCGCTGTCGGTGTAGGTTGGCGGGGCACCAGTGATGTCAGTTGATACATAGTGACGAATTTATAAAAAAAAAAAAAAAAACAAGATAGATTTTAGTGGGAGTCGCGTGGAGGTCGATCAGATGGGGTATAATTGCTAGCAATGGGGTTGTTAGATCGCTATTACTAACAATCCCCCCCAAGGTCAATCATCAAGGTCATGGCACTCGGTTCTCTCTGCCTACCCCGCAAATAACTTGGCGGAACTTGGAGGAATTATATATATATATATCTCAAAACTATATATACGTATGTGTACATTTTACTTTAATTAAGGCGAGTAAACCCATGGGTTACGGCTAGTGTAACCCAATTTAAAGTCATTACTCCTTGCAATATAATCCTGATAATGAACGGAGAGACCGTATTCGCTCTGAAGGAGTCAACAGTTTCTGGAGTCAACATGCCAGTATGAGGCGAGTCTCACACGCAGCAAGCAGGTGTAGGGACAAAGGCATTCGGTACTCGGTTCTCTCTGCCTACCCCGCGAGGGACTTAGCTTGAAATTAATATATATTAATTACTTTAATAAGTAACATTTCAAGAAGAAGCACTTTCGTAAACCGAATCTTCGTTCATAAAAAAAAAAAAAATGAAAATTTAAAGAAAACGCTTGTAAACAAGTCTATTTAAATAAAAAAATTCAATCGGTAATTCATGCAAAAAAAAAAAAACTTTTTAATTGATTACTAAAAACAAATATAAGGTACGACCATGCATTAATTATTTTTCATGTAACCAATTTACATATTTTTTTATGCAACTTAGAATGGCAAACAAGCTGACGGTCCACCTGATGGAAAGTGGTAACCGTTGCCTATAGACATGAGCAATACCGTGGACATAACAGAGTGTACTGTTTCACCTATGATACTCTCCATGCGTTGCCATTCCTGAGGACTCGAGTGTTATTCCTCTGTACCCAGTAAATTCACGCCATATCCCACCCTTCAAACCGAAACACAGCCATGCAAACACAACTGCTTCACGGTTGAAACACGAATGGGACAGAGGTACCCAAGCAATCGACTTTTGTACAAAGTCTCCCTCTGGTAAAATTAAATAAATATCTGGTAAAATTAATTAAATAAATCTGGTAATATTAAAAATAAAATTCTACTATTTTTTATCAAAATCGATTCAGTCGTTTAGTTGTTGCAAACACTCATCCATATACAAGCAAAAATCTAGTTAAATTAAAACAAAGTTTCACTAAACTGTAAAAATAAAATGTATAAATTTAATCAAACTTGCAAAGTGTACAACTTGTATTTAACTCTGTACATACAAGTTGTACATTTTACAAGTAATTTGATACATTGCATAAATTGTACACATACCCATATTGTTATAGAGACAAAATTGATTACCAAAAATTACTGAAATAACAGCCTTTAAAAAAAAAAAAAAAACCTAATGAAGTGAATGTAAACAAATAAACAGTCGTCCCGCCCGTAAGCCATTCCGCCGCTGTCCGACAGCAGTACGAATCAAACGTCGACCGATCGACTGGACGTGTCGATTCGTTACCGATTACAGTCAGAGAGTGCTCCCGGGATGATTACAACGAGACGAGGATACATTTACATTAAATTCCATTGAAATATACTATACCTATATGAATAAATAAATGCAAATTGTACATTTTACAAGTAACACAGACCGGTGTACAAGTTGTACATTTCAATTTACACGCAAGTGATAAACTTGTAAACAATTTGCCATTTCGCTTCAACATCCGCTTGCAATATTGGTATACTCTCTATTTCAGCTCGATTCTACAAGTATTATTGTCATTTTACAATTTATTACGAAAATTAATTGTTTTATATTCAAATTTTAACAACAATATTTGATAATTACTTAGACAATTATTCAAAAACAATTTTTTTTTATAAATTTACCTCTGATATAATAATATAATTATAAATCTTTCTGTTCGTATCTCATTGTATACTTTTACTTAATTAAAAAAAAAAAAAAAAAAAAAAAAAACATTGACAATAAATTATCTTCTCCTTTCATATAAGAATCGTATTAGAATACCTTATATAATACTATATACAAAAAAATATTATAGCAAATATATACATTTACGCGGTCCAGTAGCTGTTTGAGATAATACAAAAAAAAAAAAAATTAGGCAATATATTAAAAGACATGACGCCTTTGTTAATTTTACATTAATAAAAAAAAAAGCACCTGAAAAAAAATTATTATTAGTCGTTCGGAAACTATCTACATTTCTTTAAAAAAAAAAAAACAACTTTATATAATACTCTGTAAGTCTTTAACTCGTTTACTTTTTCATGAACCCATCACCAAGTTCCGAGAAATCTACTAAAATGGTAGTATTTTTCTACCATTGCACAGGAATCTCCGCATGCAGTGATCACAGCTGGGTGGGGGGTGTGTTACTTTATATAATAACAAATTTGGGGCGGCCTCAGTTTCAAAATTTAATTGGCCGTTATTATTTTTTTAAATTTTCAAATTTTAATTTAATTTCATAATATTATAATTTTGATTTGCTTATAGTAAATCTAACCTTATATATTTGTGGCGTATAGGTGTGATCATTTGACGATAATTCAATATATATTTATATATTTATGTATCGCTTGATAACAGACTCCCTGCAAAAATAATGCAACGATAATGTCTCTTATGTATTTTAGATAAAGAAGTTTGGGAACATTATATTTCTTTTCTTTATCTCTAACTATTTTTTACTCACATCTTTGTAAGTATTAATTTATTTAAATTAAGCAACATTCTTATGAATGTTTAGGAAATAAATAAATAAATAACAAAAAATTTAATAATACTGTAATGTGAGTTGTTGTAAAATAAAAGTAAATTATTTCCAACTGTTGTAGAGACGTATTGTATTTGTAAATTAAATATCCCAATATCTTATCAGTAGCATAGATTAATAATAATTCTAACATACTATATATGTAGTATATAAATATTCCATTAGTCTGTGCCTGATTGACTCAAAAATCTATCATTGCTCTCAAATATTTAAATTTTAAAAATTTAAAAATTACAATTCTAAATAGTCTATGCTCGATCGATTTAAAAAAAAAATAGACTATTATTTCTCTTAAATATTTAATTTTTAAAACTTTAAAAAACTCTCTTAGACTATTATTAGTCTTATACTTTTAAATTTTCAAAATAAAAAAAAAGAAACGAAACATCTATTACAGTCTATGCCCCGGTCGTACCATAGAGATCGTCAATTGATCACCCCGTGCGCCGGCCGCCGCTCCGCCCGCCGCCGCCGCCGCCGCGCCCGCCTCCGCTCCGCTAGCCACAAACATCTAGTTGTCTATACCACACGCGGGACATTATGACCTACGGAGCGTCTAGACAGTTCTACATTATAGTCTCCCTAGTCTAGACTTCGGGTATTGACGTCTGTCGCGGTATCGGCATGGTGTCAAAACTACAATTCATTTTGTACACTTTTAAACACCAAGCACACGTCCGCCATTATTTAAAAATGGAATCTCTATTAAAAAACAATTAGGATCCAAGTGATTCGTTTTTCGAAAACATTGTTTTTGGTGCGTTCATTTTTTAAACGTGAATGACGTTCCGTTTTAACACTACAAATGTTGCCATGTGAAAAATTTAAAATTCTACCATTTATAAAAAAAAATTAATTACATGAACACAACAAAGACAAAAACGAACTAATATTAAAATATGACATTTTATAATTAATATTAAAATTGAAATGTAATTTTAAAATTAGAGAAAACATGCAATTGTCGCATAGCAGTTCGCAAGCACACGTGTGTGAGCAACACAGGAATCGAACCCGTGTGCACTTTTGGTTACAGGAATCGAACCTGTACGACATTAACACATCACAAATGATAATCCTGTAAAAAAATCATTAAAATCATGATATAATAATGAAAATGTGTTCAAAATTAATTTTAAATATATATATATATATATATATATATATATATATATATATATATTTTTAAATTTGAACTTACGATTCGAAATTCAAAATGAACTTTCATTTTATTTTATAAATGTATAATTATTTATTTATCTATCCAACATACTGTGCCTAGTTATAGTGTATTGAAAATATTGAGCATACGGCCCGCCTGATGGCACAGAAACGTCCACAGAACGTTTGTGATACCCGGGCACGTCACAGCTTCCCTCGGGCGTGAAACTGTCAGGCCCGAGCCGCAGTACACAGTAATATCACAATCTCATCTCGCCCTTCTCGCCGGATCACGGCGAGACGTCCACTTGAACACAAATGGGGGACAGACGTAGCCATGCGGATGACAAGATCACACTCAGGCAACACTGACGAGTTGGATAGATACTGTTTTTTTTTTAAATCAATTATTCAGTAAATTAACAATTTCACGAACAATATTGTACGGACATGCACACAAAGTACTTGTAAATATATAAAATATCACAATATATGTAATATAATATACTAGTTTTTACCCGTGGCTTCGTCCGCGCGACCGGGATTCGTTCACTGAGCGGGACAAAAGAAGTTTAGGTCCTGCTCCGTGTTCTATTGTACGTGCGTACCACATTGCATGATCGGTTAAGCCGTCAAGGCGCTATAAGGCAACAAACAAACAAACTCATTTTATTATTAAGGATGTACTGCCACTTATTGGGTTTATTCTCTAACCGTGCTATCTGGGGGGGGAAAGGGATTGTTAGTAATGGAGACTGAGAATCTCATTGCTAGCAATATACCCAACCAGGTCGAATTGCTCGCGGCTCCCCTGGAAACTATCATGGTTAATTCCTGATAAATCCATCATGATGTGCTAACTGGCCTGTTTTCATTCTCATCTATCACCCTTCACTGGTGCTCCGCCAGCGTATCCCGTTAGCGCAGGCGGGGTTACCATACTATTTCCATCCAATAAAACAAAACTGTGCCATCTTTCAAGTCGTAGCGAGCAGTATACATTTACAAATATCCGTTAAAATCGAGCGGTTAAAGAGGTTATAGCATGAAAAAAAAAAACATCAACACTATCCTATCCTTATTCTAATTATTATTTCGTGTCGACTTAGATAGATAGATAGATACTCTCTATTGTTCCCTCCATAAGATTACAATAGTAAACTTATTATAGATACAAACAATTACAAGGTAATATTGCACTGAGAGAACAATGGGCGGCCTTATCGCTGAGAGAGATCTCTTGCACGCCACCTTTGGATGGAAAGGAGTACTAAGCAAGGGGGGGCGTATTAAATTTTTCTCTTCCATTCTATTCATTCACTGTCCATTCCGCATACACGCCCATTCTGTCATATCATTTTTGGATATTACATTAAAATCTCTCTGAACATTTTAAATTGAAACAAACAAGCTGACGGCCCACCTGATGGAAAGTGGTAACCGTCGCCTATACACATGAGCAGTACCGTGGACATAACAGAGTATACTGTTTCGTCCATGATACCCCCCATGCGTTGCCATTCCTGAGGACTCAGGTGTTATTCCTCTGTACCGTGTAAATTCACGCCATATCCCACCCTTCAAACCGAAACACAGCCGTGCAAACACAACTGCTTCACGGTAGAAACACGAATGGGACAGAGGTGGCCAAGCAAACGACTTTTGTACAAAGTGTCCCTCTGGTATCTCATCTCCTCGCCATCAATCACCAGACCACACATCACACATAACTCTACCATTAAAATATTTTGTCTCCTTCTTTCACACTAAACTCCCAATTTAGAGTGAAGCGACAAAACAGTGTAATAGTAAAAATAGGCTTGTAAAAGCTTTCCCATTTTTAACCAACTTCGGAAAGGAGATTCCCAAGTAAATTATATTTTTTTTTACGCTTGCCACCCCATTACTCCGTCAGTTGTGAAGCGATTTAGAAAAATTATTTTTTGTATCTGAAAGGCTACACTCACAGATCGGTCCTATAGAAATATTATGAAAGTCGATTTAGCAATTTACTTTTTAGAACAAAAAACTGATTTTGCTAAAACAAAAGTAGTTTTTTTGAAGGGGGGGACAATCTTTAAATGTTACGTATACCATCATGATTATCGTCATTTCATCCATTACCTGTCCACTGCTGGACATAGGCCTTCCCCCATAGACTGCCACAAGGAACCAGACCGTTCCTTATGGCAGTGTATCATTGGAACCGATTTTTCCAGTACCCACGCGTGGCAGGCTGATCGGCAACCGCAGTTTGAATTTTGGTGATGTTTCAAGACGCTCACTGCTGCCCATCGCTCGACCATTAAGTGAACAACTACTGTCACCACGGTTTATAACTGTTGACTGTCCACTGCTGAACATAGGCCTAGCCCATAAGGCGGGTTTTGCCAGTAGTTGCCACGTTTGGCAGGCGGATTGGCAACTGCAGTTAGACTTTGGTGTTAATAGGAAATACAATGAAAAAGATCACTTTTTAAGACACGCCTCCAGGAATACACCTGCGATAACGCATCCAATTTGGCGCAGTAGTTTTTGTGTTACATCGAAACAAACATATAGAGAGACAAATTTACTAAAAAAAATATTATTTCGGCTTCAACAAATCTTATTATAAGACCCTTAATGTACGCAATATACCTAACCAGGTCGACCTCCTCGCGGTTCCCCCTGGAAACTATCATGGTTAATTCCCGATGAATTCATCATGATGGGCTAACTGGCCTGTTTTCATTCTCACCTATCACCTTTCACTGGTGCTCCGCCAGCGTATCCCGTTAGCGTAGGCGGGGTTACCATACCCCTTTTCACCCATTGAAAAAAAAAACACATCCCATGTACAGACAGACATCCAATCAAGACTTTACTACATTTGTAAGAAGTAAATATGAATAAAGACAATTTCAAATCAAGTACAAATAAATATTTACAATAACTTGTGTGCACGCCCGTAACAGTAAACGGATATATCGCTCCCCCCCATCCCCCCGCACCCCGCTGGTGCCACGCCCGCGACCTTACCTGCTCTCTCTTCTTATCCTTGTCCTCCTTCTCCCTCTTCCTCACTTCGGCCAGGTACTCGTTGAAGTACGTCTCGCGGTCGCGCTGCTTCTCTATACCTTTGAAGCGCTCGTCGCGGCTGTGCTTAGACGAGAAGTCGCTGAACGACGATCTGGTGGGAACGTAACAAGTATTAATAGCTAAAAGAGGTCGCTCACATGGGTACTACAATCCCATTAGGGTTTCTGTCGCTAAGCAGCTCGTGTTTCGGTTTGGTGGGTGGGATATGTCAATCAATATTAAAATAAAAAGTAATTGCATGCTAGTTTTAAAATTTGAAATCCCTTAAAAAAATTACCAAAAAAAGTTATCGCTATCCAGACAGCTCCATAGACAACTAAAAACTATCGCTAAACATGTAGCTTCATTCTCCCACAGACCACCAAAAACTATCGCTAAACATGTAGCTTCATCCTCCAGAGACCACCAAAAAATATCGCTAAACATGTAGCTTCGTCCTCCCACAGACCACCAAAAACTATCGCTAAACATGTAGCTTCATCCTCCACAGACCACCAAAAACTATCGCTAAACATGTAGCTTCATCCTCCACAGACCACCAAAAAATATCGCTAAACATGTAGCTTCGTCCTCCCACAGACCACCAAAAACTATCGCTAAACATGTAGCTTCATCCTCCACAGACCACCAAAAACTATCGCTAAACATGTAGCTTCATCCTCCACAGACCACCAAAAAATATCGCTAAACATGTAGCTTCGTCCTCCACAGACCACCAAAAACTATCTCTAAACATGTAGCTTCATCCTCCCACAGACCACCAAAAACTATCTCTAAACATGTAGCTTCATCCCCACAGACCACCAAAAACTATCGCTAAACATGTAGCTTCATCCTCCCACAGACCACCAAAAAGTATCGCTAAACATGTAGCTTCGTCCTCCCACAGACCACCAAAAACTATCGCTAAACATGTAGCTTCATCCTCCCACAGACCACCAAAAAGTATCGCTAAACATGTAGCTTCGTCCTCCCACAGACCACCAAAAACTATCGCTAAACATGTAGCTTCATCCTCCCACAGACCACCAAAAAGTATCGCTAAACATGTAGCTTCGTCCTCCCACAGACCACCAAAAACTATCGCTAAACATGTAGCTTCATCCTCCCACAGACCACCAAAAACTATCGCTAAACATGTAGCTTCATCCTCCCACAGACCACCAAAAAGTATCGCTAAACATGTAGCTTCGTCCTCCCACAGACCACCAAAAAGTATCGCTAAACATGTAGCTTCATCCTCCCACAGACCACCAAAAACTATCGCTAAACATGTAGCTTCATCCTCCCACAGACCACCAAAAACTATCGCTAAACATGTAGCTTCATCCCCACAGACCACCAAAAACTACCGCTAAACATGTAGCTTAATCCCCACAGACCACCAAAAACTATCTCTAAACATGTAGCTTCATCCTCCCACAGACCACCAAAAACTACCGCTAAACATGTAGCTTAATCCCCACAGACCACCAAAAACTATCGCTAACATGTAGCTTCGTCCTCCCACAGACCACCAAAAACTATCGCTAAACATGTAGCTTCATCCCCACAGACCACCAAAAACTACCGCTAAACATGTAGCTTAATCCCCACAGACCACCAAAAAGTATCGCTAAACATGTAGCTTCGTTCTCCCACAGACCACCAAAAACTATCGCTAAACATGTAGCTTCATCCCCACAGACCACCAAAAACTATCGCTAAACATGTAGCTTCATCCTCCACAGACCACCAAAAAGTATCGCTAAACATGTAGCTTCGTTCTCCCACAGACCACCAAAAACTATAGCTAAACATGTAGCTTCATTCTCCCACATCTTACAAAGGAGCAAAAATGAGAGCGTATTGTGCTGTGATCCCTTAGTAGTCTCTTACGACATTCCAATGATGAAGAATGGTGATAGAGTATACTTAATCACCTCATGGTGTCATTAATACATACAGAGTTATGCTGAAACAGCAAAGCCGTTTTTAAAAAGTTTTCTATCCGTTAAAACACCATATACAGGAGACTTAACATTTCCTGTTAATTTTCAACCCATGTTTTTTTTGGTTAAAATGTTCTGTATAAAACACGGGGTTTAAGGATTATTAGTAAAGAGTTAAACCGCCCCAGTTTTTTTTATGCGTGAAGATGGAATGGTAACCCTGCCTACGCTATCGGTATACGCTGGCGGGGCACCAATGAAGGGTGACAGGTGAGAATAAAGGCATGTCAGTTGGCCCATAGTGATCAATTGAACAAGAATTAACCACTATTGTTTCCAGGGGGAACTGCGTGGAGGTCAACCTGATAGGGTATATTGCTAGCGATGGGGTTGCTAAATCTCATTATTACCCATCCCTTTCCTCCCAACTGCCTCATTACTAGCAATATGGTCAGGCGGACTTCATGCACTTCCCCTGGAAACCATCATGGTCAATTCTAATTGAATTCGTCAGGATGGGATAACAGACCTGCTTTCATCCTCACCTATCATGTTTCCCTGGTACCTCGCCAGCGTATACCGATAGTGCAGGCGAGGTTACTATTCTGTCACCATCTTATGATTTACAATCCATTGTGAAATAAATCGAAGTACTCACTTGGAATGCACCTTGGCCTCCTCCATGAGCTGTCTGTAGGCCACCTTCTTCTGTTGCAGCCTGTTCTTCTTCTCTTTGCGTTCCTCCTCGGCCCTCTCGCGCACGTACTGGTCAAATATCTGTGGCGACAAGAGGAAAATACTATCATTTCAGATAAGAACCGAAGGGAAAATTAATTTACGAAAATTCATAACTTTAGTTATCAGAGGGAGATTTTGTGCACAAGTCGTTTGCTTGGGCACCTCCTACCATCTACTTCGTCCTCACCTATCATCCTCCACTGGTGCCCCGCCAGTGTATATCGATAGCACGGGTGGGGTTACCATTTCATTGTCACTCATTAAAAAAAAAAAAAGTAGATAGGTAGTAATAGCACCATTGCTTCCTTTGGAAACCATCATGTTTAATTCTTGTCGAATTCATCATGGTGGGCCAACTGATCTGCATTCATTCTCACCTATCATCTTTTACTGGTGCCTCGTCGGTGTACACCGATAGCGCGGGTGGGAATACCATTTCATTGTCACCCATTAAAAAAAAATAAGTAGATAGATAGGTACCTGGCGCCTCTCCTTGGAGTTGAGCATGAGGTAGCGCGCGTCGAAGACGATCTTGTGCAGCTCCTTCTCCCAGGTGCTGAAGGCGGACACGTCCTTCTCGTGCAGCATCTGCAGGAAGCTGCGCACGCGCAGCTCGTGCGGCACCACCGCCCTCTCGCGGGCGGCGCGCACCTCCGCCTCCACGGCGGCGTCGCGGCCCGCCTCCAGCGCCGCCGCGCCGCTCGTGCCGTTGCTCGTCTTCTTGCTGCCCGCCGTCGCCGCGGCCGCTGACGTGCGTTCTGTCCACATTAACGCAAATTTGTGCCTTTTTTGTGCTTCGAGGTAAATCTTTTATAGGACTGTTTATTCAAATTCACTTAATGCCAGACAACGAGATCTATTTTGTTTAGAAATCACGTTAGTGAAAAAGGTTATAATTTACTGAACCACATACCTGACAGGCATTCGGTCAGGACGGCGACAAACCAGGGCATGGTTTTGTGTTTTAGTCCCTGTCCTGACGAAATGCTCCATCACAGGTGCATGGACATCCTCAGCTATAATTTTAAAGATTATGTTGTTATTGTTGTTTATATGTATAATAGATTTTTCTATAAATTTTTATTTGATCCTTCGAGCCGGATTTTTATATACAAACATTTAACAACAATAACAAAATTCCTTTTTCCATTTGATGGTTCAAACCATTTTTTTTTTTATACAAACAAACATTAAAATTCATACAAATTCAATACTCGACGTACGAGAATGATAACGATAACATACAAATAGGGTTTAATTAAAATAAAAGAGAAAGCGGTACGACTCGTAAAAGTTTATAGTAATACAAATTAAAAAAAATATTGGACTAATAACTTTTTTTTTAAGATATAACAATAAATATAAGGTAATGTATGGTTTTATTTGCTTATTTGTTAAGTTAGCTTATGTTTTATGCTGTGGATAACTATAATTGGCTAGCATTTAGTAAATGTGTATTACACATAGTATTTAATTTTGTAAAACGCTGTTGTTGTCCCATATAAACTAAATAAATAAGTAAGTTTTTTTTTTTTAATAAATCTTCATTTATTTATATATATTACATATGTCGAGGGTAGACGAAAGAGGGCTAACGTCAGGCAGGCAGCCGGTCGTAAAACTATAAGCCAAATCTTTTGGTAATATGGATAAAACCATATGACGCCGACCCCAAATAATAATTGTGATAAGGGAAGGAAGATGGTGATATACTGGTATGTTCCCTTATAGAGACACAGGGTAGGATGTAGGGTGGTGTACCTTCGTCGAGGGCGGTCTTCTTGCTGGGCGCGGCGTCCGAGTCGTCCGAGTCGCTGCCGGCGCGGCGCTTGCGGTCGCCGCCCGCCGCCGCCGCCGCCGCCGCGGCCTCCGCGCCGCCTTCCTTGCGCTGCGCACGCGCCGCACAAACAATATTTTATTTATTTATTTAGGTAACAATGGATGGTATAACAATATGAGTCCTCTATGATCAACCCCATCTATCGAGGTATACAAATTCGCATATATATATATATATATATATATATATATATATATATATATATATATATATATATATATATATATATATATATATATATATATATATATATATATATATATATATATATATATATATATATATAACAATGTCACATTTACAGTAAAAAAAATATATAGAAATTTGAAGCAGTTGTATTTGCATGGCTGTGTTTCGGTTTGAAGAGTGGAACATGGCAGTGAATTTACACGGTACAGAGGATCCTCAGGAATGGCAACGCATGGGGGGTATCATGGGCGAAACAGTATAGTCTGTTATGTCCACGGTACTGCTCATGTCTACAGGCGACGGTTACCACTTCCCATCAGGTGGGCCGTCAGCTCGTTTGGCATTGTAAGTTGCATGACAATGACCTGCAGCTCGACGACTTGCTGCGGCGGCTTGCTGATGGCGCGGTCGACGTCGGCGCGGCCGCGCAGCTCGGCCGGCCGCTCCCACACCGACTTGGTGGTCGCCGTCGGGTTGTAGAAGAACACGCGGCCGTCGCCCGTCCACACCACGCACCTGAGGGGACAGACGGAATATTAGTGATGAGATTTTCAACGCACTTTCTTCCACGCACAACCACTCTTTAGAATCAACTTCCAGCAGCAGTATTTCCGAACTGATACGACAACATAACCTTCAAGAAAAGAGCATATTCCCTTTTAAAAGACCGGCAGCACTCCTGCAATGCCGCTGGTGTTGCGAGTGATTATGGGCGGCGGTAGTCACTTACCACCAGGTGAGCCGCACGCTTGTTTAACCCCTGTGTTGTAAAAAAAAAAAAATTTAACCGGCCCACTGCTAGCAACACACACATTAGGATTAACCTTCATACAGTTCTTCTCTGGAAACCATTGTTGTTTAACTGGCCTGACTTCATCCTCGCCTATCATCCCGCATTGGTACTTCACGAATGTATACCGACAGCGCAGGTGGGGTTACCATTCCATTATCATCCATTAAAAAAAAAATTTGTCTTGGTTGACTGGGAGAGAATGCTTTTAACTTTAAGTCCGCCTTATACACATGTATCAATGTATATATTCTAATGCTAAAAATATGGTAAATAGGTACTCTTTATTGTTCCCTCCATAAGATTACAATAGTGAACTTATTATAGATACAAACAATTACAAGGTAATATTGCACTGAGAGAACAATGCGCGGCCTTATCGCTGAGAGCGATCTCTTGCACGCCACCTTTGGATGGAGAGGAATAATTATAAGCAGTTTGATACATTATAATGGTGGCGAGTGGTACGGACCAGAGCGTGCCGGCGATGGGCGTGCTGATGATGGGGCGGCTGCGGTCGGTCTTGGCGGCCTTGTCTTTGTCGGCCTTGTCCTTGTCGGCGCGCTCGCGCTCGGCCTCGGCGGCGCGGCGCTCGGCCTCGGCGGCCGCCTGCCGCGCGCGCTCCGCCTCCGCCGCACGTTCCGCCTCCGCTTCCGCCGCCGCGGCCGCTGCCGCCTGTGTCTGCGCCTCGTCGTGCGCGTCCACGTCGATCACTGCGATTCACACAGTATATATAATTACCGTACTGTTATATTGACATTAGAACATTGCTTTTAAAAATATAATTTGTAATAGAAAGTATTTGATAATGAAATAATATAATTGATTATTTGATGCGACCATCCAAGATGGAGTCTGAACCTGAACTGCCTTTGCGCTTTAACCGAGTCATCCAGTTGCAACTGAGTATTGCAACACTCAGCATTTTTAGTTACATTTTAGGGTTGTAACAGTACACGTGTATATATATATATATATATATATATATATATATATATATATATATATATAATTTAGTATGTATAATATATCAATAATTACTAGTACCGCATTCGTGTATTCTGCCACTTCCCTACGGTTGACTGGTAGGTACTGCCCTAGATGGACGTATGTCGACCAAATAGGCGACGTGCTGAAGAAGGGCCAAATTAAGAGTACCCGTAACCGGCGAGCGTGTATGAAAAGATTGATGAATGTGGAGGAAGCGAAAGAGGTTTGTTTGAATCGAAGCATTTGGCGTTCCATTGTTTCTGCCTACCCTAATGGGAGACAGGCGTGACAGATATGTATGTATGTATGTATGTATGTATTATAAAGAATTACCTTCAATCTTGTCGTCAATTACGATACTCTCGATCTTTTTGTTGATCGGTTTCTCTCCCTTTTCAGCGGCGATTCTCGCTTGCAGTACTGGAACGGAATACAACATAATTTTTAAGAAATGACATAAAATATTGGAAATTCCTATTCTAATATAAATTTTTAAAGTCATTCAAAGAATTACAATGAATAATCTGCTCTAGCGTTTATTACAATCCAACGAAAGATAGGATATACTGGTTTCGCATTATTTTTGGTGGTCCATGAGAGGCTACAGTAAGAGGCGATAAATCACAAGTCGCGTAAACTTTATTTGCGATTTTCTTTTTTTTTTTTATACAACTTAGAATGACAAACAAGCTGACGGCCCACCTGATGGAAAGTGATAACCGTCGCCTATAGACATGGGTAGTACCATGGACATAACAAAGTATACTGTTTCGTCCATGATACCCCCCATGCGTTGCCATTCCTGAGGACTCAGGTGTTATTCCTCTGTACCCTGTAAATTCACGCCATATCCCACCCTTCAAACCGAAACACAGCCATGCAAACACAACTGCTTCACGGTTGAAACACGAATAGGACAGAGGTACCCAAGCAATCGACTTTTGTACAAAGTCTCCCTCTGGTGACGATAAACTGTAAAAGTTACACCTCTTCAGGAAGCCGTCGCGATTGATTCGTGACCTGCCTACACATCCTCACCTATCATGTGTCCCTGGTACCCCGCCAGCGTATACCGTTAGTGCTAGCGGGGTTATTATTCGTTATACGTTCGGTTAACCCGAGAAAGAAACGGTTCTAGGCTAGCTCGCTACATCCACTGCATCATCGATTTTTGAAATTACCAAATTTCGATTAGAGGTTATGGATAAATGGTTTTTTGTTTATAGATGATAATGGAATGGTAACCCCGCCTGCGCTATCGGTATACGCTGGCGGGGCACCAGTGATAGATGACAGGTGAGGATGAAAGCGGGTCAGTTAGGCCATCGTGACGAATTTCACAAGAATTAACCACGACGGTTTCCAGGGGGAACTACGTGGAGGTCGACCTGATCAGGGGGATCGATCGATGGGGCTGTTAGATTCTATTATTAACAATTCCTTCCCCCCGGATAAATGGATCTATTACCTACATAAATTAATGACCTACGTAAATTTAATGAAAACGACGCTGCAAATTGCAGTTATGCAACAGACGCTGTTGCACATTTATGTTCGGTACAGCGTATGAGGCTTAAAGCTGTAGGGGTTAAAAGAGAGGTATACTGACCTTCGAGCTCCCTGAGCGGCTTGGGCTTCTCCCAGACGCTCTCCTGGCGCTGCGCGTGGTAGTAGTAGGGGCGGCCGTCGGGCGCGCGGTGGGTCGACCACTCCGCGGCCGCCGCCTTCGCCGCCGCCAGCGCGCTGCTGCTCACAGCCGCCACGGGGGCTGTCGCTGGGGCCGCCGCTGACGGGCCCTGGTGCAGGAGTACAGTACATAGAGTAGGAGAGCTGGAGGAGGACTATGCCAGGAGGCACGCCGAATTGAGAATTTTTATTTTATACAACTTAGAATGGCAAACAAGCTGACTGCCCACCTGATGGAAAATGGTAACCGTCGCCTATAGACATGAGCAGTACCGTGGACATAACAGAGTATACTGTTTCGTCCATTATACTTTACATACGTTGCCATTCCTGAGGACTCGGGTGTTATTCCTCTGTACCGTGTAAATTCACGCCATATCCCACCCTTCAAACCGAAACACAGCCATGCAAACACAACTGCTTCACGGTAGAAACACGAATGGGACAGAGGTAACCAAGCAATCGACTTTTGTACATAGTCTCCCTCCCTAATCAATAGAAAGTGAAAATATATCTTGCCAAGATTATATGTATGTATGTGCGTATGAGTCATGACTAGTACAACCAGCCAAAAACACTTGGAGGATTTGCCAGCAGTTGGTTTGCTTGACGGCCGCAGTAGTTTTACAGATGTTTTATATAGGAATGCTGCTGCCCGTCCCTCGTGCTCCCTTAGTCGTCTTTTACAACACCCATAGGAAAGGAAGGGATGGCCTATTCTATAATGAGACCACATGACCACCTTTGTCCCCTTTAATTGGCGTAAAACCCAAAGTGAGACTGTACAAAAATCGATTGCTTGGGTACCTCTGTCCCATTCGTGTTTCTACCGTGAAGCAGTTGTGTTTGCATGGCTGTGTGTCGGTTTCAAGGGTGGGATATGGCAGTGAATTTACAGGGTACAGAGGAATAACACCCGAGTCCTCAGGAATGGCAACGCATGGGGGGTATCATGGGCGAAACAGGATACTCTGTTATGTCCACGGTACTGCTCATGTGTATAGGCGACGGTTACCACTTTCCATCAGGTGGGCCGTCAGCTTGTTTGCCATTCTAAGTTGTATAAAAAAAAAGTGAAGCCCCAAGATTAAACAGAATACTAACCGTGTCGTCTTTCCTGAAGAGCTGCGTGTGCGAGCTGACTGGCGCGCAGTCGCCGGGGGCTCCGTCGGCCGCCAGCGGAGCGCCCGCGCCCGCCGCCATCTGTGACCCTGCATCACATAAAAAAAGCGATTATTAAAATTGTATTTCATAAAAAACTGATTTTAATTTTTTTTTTACAACACAGGGGGCAAACGATCACGCGGTTCACCTGACGGTAAGTGACTACCGCCGCCCATGATCACCCACAACACCAGCGGCATTGCAGGTGTGCTGCCGGCCTTTTAAAAAGGAATATACTCTTTTCTTGAAGGTTAAGTTGTCGTATCGTCTTTAACTTCTAACAAAACCAATTGTTTAAATTTAAAAACTAAACCACTGGTCAGCGGGCCCTCTAGACAAGTAGCAAGAGATTTCGTCGATGGAATCGTCATCGCTAGCGAGTCCGTAAGTTGGAAAGAGACATCCGGCGTTGCTATCTCATTCTATCTCACGGACTCGCTAGCGATGTCAATTCTGTCGACAAACTCGCTTGCCACTTGGTCTTGAGGACCAGAACTACTCTTGAATCCAATATCAGTATCGATCCAGTCTGTTGCCAATGACAATTTTACACTGCGCTCATGTAACAACAGTTAGGGATTAGCTTAGAACAGGGATCGGTTTACAATAGTTCGCATTGTTTTTTTTTTATGGATAATAGATAGATAGATACTCTTTATTGTTCTCTCCAAAAGATTACAATAGTAAGCTTATTATAGATATAAACAATTACAAGAAATAATCACAATGAGAAAACAATAGGCGGCCTTATCGCTAATAATAATGTAATAGTAACCCCGCCTGCGCTATCGGTATACACTGGCGAGGCAACAGTGAGGGATGATAGGTGAGGATGAAGCAGGTCCGTTGGCTCATTGTTATAAATTCAGTGATAAATTAGTCATGATAGTTTCCAAGGGAAACCGCGTGGAGATCGACCTGATACGGTTTATAGATTGCAACGGGAACTAACCTTTCCATTACTAACACTCCTTTCCTGGGAAGGAAAGGGATTGTTAGCAATGGAGTTTGACAGCCCCATTGCTAGCAATATGCCCTATCAGGTCGACCTCCACGTGGTTCCCCCTAGAAACCATCGTGAACGATTCTTGTTGAATTCGTCACGATATGTTAACTGGCCTGGTTCATTCATCCTCACGTATCATGTGTGCCTGGTACGCTGCCAGTGTATACATACATTATGAGGGCTGTGGTGCAGCCGAGTGGGCAGGTGTAGCGGTAGCAGTGCATTACCGTGGTCGGGCGCGGCGGGCGCGGCGGGCGCCAGGCCTGCGAGCGGCGGCTGCGCGGCGAGGTGCGCGTGCGGCGGCTGCGCGGCGGGCGGCGGCTGCGAGCCCAGCGGCGGCGGCGGCCAGCCCCAGCCGCCCCACGCGCCGCCGCCCGGGCCCGGGAAGCCGCCCACCATGTTGCCTGGAAACCAATTGCACCGTTAAACGTTGATTTCACATTTATTACTCTAAGTGACTGTAAGGCATCCCTTTATAGGATTCACCAGAGCGAGACTTTGTATAAAAGTAGATTGCTTGGGTACCTCTGTCCCATTCGTGTTTCAACTGTGAAGCAGTTGTATTTGCATGGCTGTGTTTCGGTTTCAAGGGTTTGTATGCCGTACAGGCTAAACATGTCGAACGCTATTATATTGTCAACATATGCATGTATTTATACGCATGTTTTACAAATAAATAAATCTTGAACCTTGAATCAAAAACTGTAAAAGGTGCAGGTGCATTGCACGTGTGCTGGCGGCCTTCTATAAAGGAATGAATGCTCACCGTTGGGTGGCGGCTGATGCATGGAGGGCGGCTCGCCCGGCGGCATGTCGTCGCCGTCGGCTGGACTCTGCTCCGGCTTGTCCTTGCCGCCGCCTGTTCACAAACAAACCATTTATTTAATACATTCATGCAAATTAATGAATTTTTTTATATATATTATTACCATACATAACAATAGTTTTTTTTGTACAAAAGTCGAATGCCTGGGTACCTCTGTCCCATTCGTGTTTCAACCGTGAAGCAGTTGTGTTTGCAAATCTGTGTTTCGATTTAAAGGGTGGGATATGGCGTGAATTTACAGGGTACAGAGGAACAACACCTGAGTCCTCAGGAATGGCAACGCATGGGGGGTATCATGGGCGAAACAGTATACTCTGTTACGTCCACGGTACTGCTCATGTGTATAGGCGACGGTTACCACTTTCCATCAGGTGGACCGTCAGCTTGTTTGCCATTCTAAGTTGTATAAAAAAAAAACAAACCCTATACACTTTCTCCTGTCAAGTTCTCAAGGTTGCATGGAAGAGATCCCTTCAAGGGATAACTCCGCCTGTGTACATTTTTGTTACAACCTAATATCTATACTACAAGTGAATCTACAAAAGCATATAAATAAATAAATAAATAAAACGTTTTTGTATTATTTATTTATTTATAATATAGATATAAAAAAGGTTTTTGTACATTTAATCACGAAAAATTATTAATTCCCATCTTGCGCCACCTGCCCACTTCTATCTGTTCTCCTTTAACCAAAGGTTGTCTGTAAGAGATCGCCCTAGCGATAACACCGCCTTTTGTACCTTCATGTGTATATTTCAATCTGTATTTACGTTACTGTATTTCACTTAAATTATTCACTTGTCATTGTATATTTTAGTTCATGGTGCAATAAAGAGTTAAATAAATAGAATTTTAAAACCTTACCATCCTTAATCCAGGGCGGCGGCTGCGTCATGAAGGGCGGCACGTGCGGGCCGCCGGGTCCCGGGGGTCCGGCGCCGGGCTGCACGCCGGGCGGCATCATGCCCATCATGCCGTTCGGCATCATGCCCATCGGTGGGCCACCCATGCCGGGTCCGCCCATCGGTCCGCCCATGGGACCGTTCATAGGCATCGTTTGTGGAGCGCTTATTCCTGGCATTTGACCTGGGAGGAAGGTTATTTGTTTAGAATTTCTTCGTCAAATTCCGCTATCATTAGTATGCGTGCGACTGTCAACATTTGAACATAGACTATGACACCAATCTCCGACCGTTATTCTGTCCACGCATGTGTTGTTGTTGTTTGTTACCTTATAGTGGAAAGGGATTGTTAGTAATGGAGACAGAATCCCATTGCTAGCAATATACCCAACCAGGTCGTCCTCCTCGCGGTTCCCCCTGAAAACTATCATGGTTAATTCCTGTTGAATTAATCATGATGGGCTAACTGGCCTGTTTTCATTCTCATCTATCACCCTTCACTGGTGCTCCGCCGGCGTATCCCTTTAACGCAGGCGGGGTTACCGTACCATTGTCACCCATCAAAAAAAAAAGTGCTTTAATAGCTTAAACAATCACTATGAAATTTGGTATACAACTACCCATATGCCTATGTACAGTAGTGGACAGTATCGCTGATCTGATGACGAACGCTACTGTACGGGAGCTGTATGGGAGGCACTACTCACCCGCAGCGGTGAGCACCTCCATCTCGGCCTGGGTGATGACCTTGCAGTTGGCGTTCTCCTGTGGCCTGTTCCACGTGGTCTCGCGAGTCCTTGAATGGTAATAGTAGGACTTGCCCTCGTCGGACTTGGTCTCGATCCACAGCTCCGGATTGGGCTGGAAGGAATTTTTTAAAATTATATTTAATGCATCATTTAACAATATTATGTCCACTTATATACAAACTATTTTTTTTAATGTGTTTTTCACAGCTTTTTTTTTATGCAACTTAGAATGGCAAACAAGCTGACGGGCCACCTGGTAAAAGTGGTAACCGTCGCCTATAGAATTAAGCAGTACCGTGGACACAACAGAGTATACTGTTTCGCCCATGATACCCCCCATGCGTTGCCAACCCTGAGGACTCAGCTTAATCTGTACCCAGTAAATTCACTGCCCCATCTCATATCGCACCCTTCAAACCGAAACACAGCCATGCAAACACAACTGGTTCACGGTAGAAACACGAATGGAACAGAGGTGCCTAAGCAAACAACTTTTGTACAAAGTCTCCCACTGGTAAAATAGCGGTTGTTGGAGTTGGGATGTATGGATAGGGGGACACTATTGAAAAGCCGAAAAGAATTATTCACTTTTACCAAAAAATATGGGACTTGGAAAATTTTTGAGTTTTTAATATCGCTATGATTCCCCCTTTTTATGCAACCATCGGATAGGGTTCTTATGATAAAAAAAAATGTAATTTCAACCTTTTCTTAAAAGAGATAATAAAAGGATTCTCTTGTATGTGGAATAATATGTGTGTATTAACAAAGGCTCTCGCTGGACACTGCAAACTAAACACGCACATTGCTCAACTAGGCTTCTAGGACAATCAAAATTGGCCGTGCCAACGTTGAATCAACGACTATCAAAACGTTTACTACATCTAGATAGGAAAAACCTCAAAATAATGATAGGGACAATAACGGGCCATTGTCCATTAAACAAACATTTATACACAATAGGAGCCACAGGCAGCCCTCTATGTCGAGGCTGCTTCGACGCCGAAGAAACGGCTGCTCACGTAATCCTGTAATGTAAGTTAACGGGCTGTGGCCCGTCAAAGTTTAGAAATCCTCGGAACGGTGAGGTCTGTGAAGGTACCAGGAAGCTTCTGCGCTTCTTCTGGTTGGCTGTACTAGCCACGACTCATACGCACAATGGCCCAAATGAGAGGCTAAGCGCGGAAAAGAGAGTCCAATTTACATTACATTAGGCTTGTGTCCAAAGTGTTTGCAGATTTTGTCATAACGAGGAAGAAACGCCGCAGCACCGAATGTGTCGCTGTAGCCCTTTCGTACATACACGATATATCCCTTTTGGAAAACACACTCTGTATCCTGAGGAGATAAAAACATCGCTACAGAGAACAACTTAAAATTCCTCTCACTGATTGGAATCAGGAGGGCATTTTAAAAAGGGCGAGCACAATAGATCGTGGAAAGGTCGCGGTGTCACATGTTTATCTACCTGAAAAGGCCAATCTCTCAATAATCATAATACAGTAAGGTACCAGGAGAAGCGACTTTAAAACGAAACATGCTTACTGATCTTAGAATAGTTGAGCATGGTCTGGTCATACAGCAGTCGAATCGACAACCGATGGGGTAAAAAGTACATACATATAATACCTCTATTTAATCTCTGTTAAATCCTACTACCTCTCACTTTAGTACCATTTTCCTGTGTTCTCTCTTCGTTTTCCTTCGTCATTTTTTTTTCTGTTGTATGTGTGCTGTTAAGTATGTGTATGTTATGTATGTGTGTATGTATGTATATATGTTTGTATATGATAATATTCATATAATAGTGCGCCACCTACCCTTTGTCTTTTTCCCAATGTCCTCTACCCAAAGGTTGTCTGGAAGAGATTGCTCAGCGATAAGGCCGCCTTTTGTATCATTTCTCATTAATATTTACTGTATTTGTTATTTCTCTTTTTACTTGGTGCAATAAAGTGTATAATATATATATATATATATATATATATATATATATATATATATATATATATATATATATATATATATATATATATATATATATATATATTTACAATCAATATAACCTGTTTTTATAAATCAATTATTTTTGATACTCCAATTGTTTTTGTACGAAATATCTATAGATATATAAAATGAGTCGTGCTGCTGGATCTGCTTGTGGATATGGTGGCTTTAGTCGTTGGTTGTTAAGCATTTAATAATAGATGTAAGCTATATATATATATATATATATATATATATATATATATATATATAATCATTAGTTTAACAACTTGTTAGCAAGGGAGGGCTTATCTCTAAAAGAGAATTGGCGGGTAAACTAGTGCAGGAAAGATATGTATGTATGTTTGTATGATCATTATGTACATTAGTTCTCTACTGTATAATAACATTAATGAGTCAATATAGAATACTGCTCTAGGCCACAACAGAATATCAGTGTTTCGCCCTTTTGATGGCGAAGCAATAAACTGAGTCGTGACCATTTTGTGTTACTATGGCACACGCGCGAAAGCAAAATAAATATTACTTCTTTTATTTACTTATTAATAAGTTTAAAACTGTTATTAAAAAACACTTATTGAACAAAGCCTATTACACACTAAACGATTACTCGAATGACAATAGTGCATGGTGTTAGTGGATCATGCACGGGCTTCTAACGACCGTGTAATATTAGACATAGGGGGTAAAGGGATTGTTAGTAATGGAGACTGAGAATCCCATTGCTAGCAATATACCCAACCAGGTCGTCCTCCTCGCGGCTCCCCCTGGAAACTATCATGGTTAATTTCCGATGAATTCATCATGATGTGCTAACTGGCCTGTTTTCATTCTCACCTATCACCCTTCACTGGTGCTCCGCCGGCGTATCCCGTTAGCGCAGGCGGGGTTACCATACCATTTTCACTCGACAAAAAAAAAATATTAGACATAGTACATTTAAATAAACACACATAATGTTAACAGAGATTTAAAAGAGTAACTGTCGAGTTTCTCGCGGGCTCTTCTCAACAGATAACAACCTTCCGAAGCCTGCAGTAGATAAAAAAAAAATGACGATTTAAAAGTGCTTGTAAACAAGTGTATTTGAATAGAGACGATTTGAACTTTCCTTTTGTTTTCGTATGTTGTAAACAAATGCAAATAAATTACATTGGCGTGAATTTACACGGTACAGAGGAATAACACCCGAGTCCTCAGGAATGGCAACGCGTGAGGAGGTATCATGGACGAAACAGTATACTCTGTTTTGTCCATGCTACTGCTCATGTGTATAGGCGACGGTTACCACTTGCCATCAGGTGGACCGTCAGCTTGATTGCCATTCTAAGTTGTATAAAAAAAAAACATACGTCTGCAACTGTTTATTTACAATAATTTACAATATTTTCCACCGCATAGTTACATTTCTATTTTGCCAAAGGTTGACTGGGAGAGAATGCTATATAGTAACAAGTCCGCCATTTGTACCAAACAAATTTTTTTTTGTAATATATTCAACAAATTACTACATAGTATAAAACAAAGTCGCTGTCGCTGTCTGTCCGTCCCTATGTATGCTTAAATCTTTAAAACTACGCAACGGATTTTGAAGCGGGTTTTTTTATAGATAGAGTGATTCAAGAGGAAGGTTTATATGTATAATACATGCATAATATTGTAGAGGTACACTGGTAAATTTAGAGATTTCTAATGTGATGAGATGTAGTGTGCACCCGTGCGAAGCCGGGGCGGGTCGCTAGATTTAATTAATAAAAAATACTTACTATGTTCGGTGGAGGCATACCGGGCGGGCCTCCGAACGGCGGCGGCTGTCCCATCATGTTGGGTGGGGGGCCCATGGGCCCGCCCGGCGGCATCATACCGGGCGGGGGACCGAACGGAGGCGGGCCGCCCATCATACCGGGCGGTGGGCCCATCGGTCCCCAGTTGTTGTCGAAGTTCGGCCCGTTGTTGGGCCCGAAGCGGGGGCCGCCCCGGCCGCGGAAGAAGCCGCGGCCCCGCATCGGCGGTCCACCGGGACCGTAGCCGCGCCCGCGGAACCGCATCGGCGGCGGCATCCACCCGGGAGGGGGGCCGCCGCGACCTCTGCCCCTGTTTTCATCACATTATTCATTAGATATACAGTTATTAGAATGGCAAACAAGCTGACGGTCCATCTGATAGAAAGTAGTAACCGTTGCCTATAGGGGGGAAAGGGATTGTTACTAATGGAGACTGAGAATCCCAGTGCTAGCAATATACCCAACCACGTCGACCTCCTCGCGGTTCTCCCGGGAAATTATCATGGTTAATTCCTGATGAATTCATCATGATGGGCTAACTGGCCTGTTTTCATTCTCATCTATCACCCTTCACTGGTGTTCCGCCAGCGTATCCCGTTAGCGCAGGCGGGGTTACCATACCATTTTCACACATAAAAAAAAAAACTGTCGCCTATAGACATGAGCAGTACCGTGGACATAACAGAGTACCTATATATTTAAATAAAAGAACGGGTCTTCAGAACATCCACAACGAAGTATGACACAAGGACATAAATTCTATCTTTTATGACACAACTTTTACTGGGTTCCTTAAACTGTACTAAAATAATATAAAATTGAATTAGAAAAAACCCAGTCAAATACCCTATTATCTATCAATTTCCAAAATCAGTTTGAACATTTTTCAGTCTTGTTTCATATTTAATTGAATTTTCTAATTAAGGAATATGTAATTGTAAATTTAATTTAATATAATAATTATATTATGACAGAGATTTATCGAGCAAGAATGGATGGAGATGTCGGTAGGGGCCGCCGTAGACGGACGTATGTCGACCGAACAGGCGACGTGCTGAGGAAGGGCCAAATTAAAAGTACCCGTAACCGGCGAGCGTGTATGAAAAGATAGATGAATGTGGAGGAAGCGAAGGAGGTCTGTTTGAATCGAAGCATTTGGCGTTCCATTGTTTCTGCGCTACCGTAATGGGAGACAGGCGTGACAGATATGTACGTATGTATATTATGACATTTATATGCATGTAATCTGTAGTCAACGTTGTGTACGCCTGCTATAGGTAGGTATGCATGTCACCATGCTACACAAAAAATGTTATTTAATTTATGTATAACATGTATACTGTTGGAATGCCTAATTCGAATTAAATAAATAAATAAATAAATTTCCGATTGACTATTTAAAAAGTACTCTGGACACAAGTATTAGAAATGTCATGTGCATCATGTATTTATTTTCACAAATAAATAAATAGATTCAAGTGAATGCACATGGTACTCCGCCAGCGTACACCGATAGCGCAGGCGGGGCTACCATTCCATTATCATCCATTAGAAAAAAAACCTATATATATATATAATGAGTAGGGATAATATTTATATTATTATATGTATCACATCTCCATATTTAGAACTAACAAAATTTTTCATCGTGCCTCCCACCAAATTGTTTAGAATTACTCCTCTCCATCCAAAGGTTGGCTGGAAGAGATCGCTCTTAGCGATAAGGTCGCCCATTGTTCTCTCATTGTGATTATTTCTTGTAATTATTTATATTTATAATAAGTTTACTATTGTAATCTTTTGGAGGAAACAATAAAGAGTATATATATATTTGTTAATGTAATTCACTTATAATCGTATTTACTGATATTGTTCACAACTCAGGTTACATGTATATTTCTATAACTAACAACGCAACTTTTACAATATTTGTAATCTAGTGTTATTTAATTCATTATAATTGTTACTTCATTTTCTCGCCACTGTATAACTATGTTAAAGTAAATGCTGTGAATACCTATAATAGGCGTGTGCATTAATATTGTATTGTATTTAATGTTTCTTATATATGTTATAATGCAATATGCAGTTGGTATTTCTTTAAATAAATAAATACAACGCAAAAAAAATACTAATTTCTCTTTTTATCCGTACCATTCCGAATGGGGAGTTTTTTAAGTGAGAATTGATCGGTTCCTTGTGCTGTGGAGTGGATGTCAAAACCGTAAAGTTGGATGGGATCAGTTTTTAATAAAAAATTTCTAATTCCATCCCAAATTTACAGTTTTGACATCCACTCACTCACAGCACAATCTTCCACCGTGCGTTTTTCAATGCACTTTCTTCCACGCACAACCATTCTTTGGAATCAACTTCCAGCAGCGGTATTTCCGAACCGATACGACAACATAACCTTCAAGAAAAGAGTATATTCCTTTTTGAAAGGCCGGCAGCACACCTGCAATGCCGCTGGTGTTGTAGGTGATCATGGGCGGCGGTAGTCACTTACCATTAGGTGAGCCGCATGCTCGTTTGCCCGCTATGTTGTAAAAAAAAAAATCTTTGACATCCAATCATAGCACAATCAATAAGTTATTTAACCAATGAATTCACACTTGTTTTTTTCGAAATCTATTAAAATTCGTGGTTGGAACTCGGCTGCAAAACAAATTTCCATAGTCAGACCTAATCTTCACATATTTTGTTGAGTTTTGGGAACGTGGTACAAAATTTAACTGCAAGGGTTCCACCGGAACCAGCTGAATTCTGAAAGTGGTCTGTGAGAAAGTCTGGGACACCCTGGTTTAGAGGAATGGCGTCGCAGAATCGATACAGCGAACATTGATTTCCGCCCACTGTCACATACCGGGCCCCTTTTATATATTGCTAGCGATCCGGCCCGACTTCGCATAGACATATCATAACCGTAGACTCTTTAGATTCGTAATATGTTTTAGACACTTTGCTTTACCTGATATTATGTATAATGTAAAGTAAATATGTTTAAACGGAAATATAAAACCGAGCAAAGCAACAGGACCATAGTAAAGTCAAATTACACCACAGTAGACCCTATTACTAACAATCCCCCCCCCCCTTATATAGCAGCAAGTAATTAGATATTATTTAATTAATGTAATACCCTAATCTGACCTATGATCCACAGTAGAGACGTTTGGGGGGAAAGGGATTGTTAGTAATGGAGACTGAGAATCCCATTGCTAGCAATATACACAACCAGGTCGACCTCCTCGCGGTTCCCCTGGAATCTATCATGGTTAATTCCTGATGAATTCATCATGATGGGCTAACTGGGCTGTTTTCATTCTCATCTATCACCCTTCACTGGTGGTCCGCCATTGTATACCGATAGCACGGGCGGGGTTACCATACCATTATCACCCATTAAAAAAAAACTGACCTGCCTTCAATCTCGCCTGTCACCCTTCACTGGTACCCTGCAGCGTATACCGATAGCGCAGGCAGGGTTACCATTCCATCTTCACGCATAAAAGAAATCTAGGACCTAACCAGAATCTGAATGATTCTGTTATTCAAATAATTAGTAATATACTAATTTTAGAATACTTTACTAATTAGTAATTCGATTTACTAACTATTAAACAAAATCCTTTGCTAATAACTAATGGTGAACGATCAAGCAGCCTGCCATTCCTGTAACCAGTGTGTCAAGAAATCCCTTACCACAAATAAATTAAAAATCTAACTCGTAGATTCTATTTTTAATTAAATTTTAAAAATATTCCACATTTAAATGTTTATTCCATATTTAAATAATTGTTCTAGTATCGAATTTAGTAAAGTTATAACATTCAATATTTACCAATATTTAAGTTCGCGTCAGACTATTTCCATATTAAAATCTGTTTAAACTAACATTCAAAATCTCCGTTACTGTACTCGCTGTACACTAACATCCCTCGAGCCTCAATTTCAAAGATCGATATATATCTCTTCGCAGATGACAGTACCCTCATCAGTTACCCTGGGCCACATGACATCGACGACACTCGACTACAAAAGGCCGTAAACATGTTGGGCCAATGGTTTCGCGGGTGGCGCGTAGAGGTCAATCCCGAAAGCAGCGCAGCACTACTTTAGAATATTTTTTTTATACAACTTAGAATGGCAAACAAGCTGACGGCCCACCTGATGGAAAGTGGTAACTGTCGCCTATAGACATGAGCAGTACCGCGGACATAACAGAGTATACTGTTTCGCCCATGATACCCCGCACGCGTTGCCATTCCTGAGGACTCAGATGTTATTCCTCTGTACCCAGTAAATTCACACCATATCCCACCCTTCAAACCGAAACACAGCCATGCAAACACAACTGCTTCACGGTTGAAACACGAATGGGACAGAGGTGGCCAAGCAAACGACTTTTGTACAAAGTCTCCCTCTAAACCTACTTCAGTTGTGACAAAACTAGCCTTTTTTTATCTAAAACGAATTAACAAATTTCTATAAAATAACTATGGGACCGATCTAAGTTTCTGTACAATTAAATATAAGTATAAATACAGACGTAGAAATATGTCAATACAAATACACATTTGAAAGTACGTCTGTCTTATCTTTACTTGAATAAATAAATTATGCATGACAATTTTAATCTAACGATTCATAAATGTGTTTAAAAATAAACTTGAACGCTCTTTTTAACTTAACCTTTTGACTGCACGTCTTTGTATCAATGGCTGCGTTCCTAGCGACTTGCTCAAATCAGATAAAAGGTTCTCCTTTAACCAAAGGTTGTCCTTTGCCCTAGAGATTGCCCTAGGCGATAAGACCGCCTTTTGTACCTTTACGTATTTATTGTGTCCCAAACAACAAAAAAAAACCAACCATAACAAAATCGGTTATTTTAATTTTACCAGAGGGAGACTTTGTACAAAAAACGTTTGCTTGGGTACCTCTGTCACATTCGTATTTCTACCGTAAAGCAGTTGTGTTTGCACGGCTGTGTTTCGGTTTGTAGGGTGGTATATGACACTGAATTTACACGGTACAGAGGAATAACACCCGAGTCCTCAGGAATGGCAACGCATAGGGGGTTACATGGGCGAAACAGTATACTGTTATGTCCATGGTACTGCTCATGTCTATAGGTGACGGTTACGGTTGAAACAATAGTCAAAAAGATAAGAAAATATTAATATATACAAGTGAGATCGCTTGCCCAGACCAATGAATTAAATATAACCATTCTATGTGTACGAATATACATACAAATAAAATTCCAAAAGTCATACAGGTCACCTTCCCCCATCAAATATTGGAGGG